CAGTTAATGAGCAACCTGTACTTGTGTGCTTGTTTGTTCTGTCTAAAATGTTTATTTTGGAATAAAGAGGTTAATATAAAAAATATTTTTTGTCCGATTCATCGATTAATCGAAAAAATAATCGGCCGATTCATCGATTTTTAAAATAATCGTTAGTTGCAGCCCTAGTGGAAGGAAACAATTTTATACTCGGGAAAAGTATTGCACTCTCTTTAAGTTGGATCCTAAATAAACAACCTCCTTTTTTTAATTACTAACATTTGTTTGCTACCTCTGACTTAATTTACACCTTACTGATACTCATAGTGATACAGTTTTTAGGCTTATTCACTTGGGAATCCTAATATAGTACTTTCATACTTTAACATACTTGTATTACTTATTTTGTAGTGTGGTATAATGTAGGGCTGCAACTAACGATTATTTTGAAAATCGATGAATCGGACGATTATTTTTTCGATTAATCGATGAATCGGACACAAAATATTTTTTTTATATTAACCTCTTTATTCCAAAATAAACATTTTAGACAGAACAAACAAGCACACAAGTACAGGTTGCTCATTAACTGTACTGGTGCAATATGAAAAATAAATGTTTGTGTTAAAACTACGCAAACTTACATGAGAAATGTAGCTGTACATCCACAAAATATAGGGTACTTTGTTTCATAAAGCGCAAAAAGAGACAGGCATTTTTGTTTTTTAAAGCCCCTAAGGGGTTCAAACAATAGGCCCCCCCATTTCAACAAATGAGGTTTTTTTAGACTAGAAGAGTTCTGCCTTTTAAGACAGGAAAGTATAGCAGTTAAAGATGCTACTTGAGAAAATACTGAACCATAGAAATAAAAATAGCCCTGTGATTCAAATTATAAATTGTATTTGGAATAAAAATGAGAGAACTAGGGGTGCTAAAAAACACATCCTCCAAAGACAGATATTTACATGGGAATGTGGCAGATAATTAATTGACATATTACTGATCTTGCTGGATTTTATTCTGCTTTACTTCCATAAATTGCAGGATCTTCTTTACTTTCTTTGCCAGAAGATTTAAACTTTAAAAGCCTTGCCCTCATAATTTGCAAATTAATTTATTTATAAAGAAAATATAAACGCTGCTTAAGCTAATTCAAATGAAATTAAAAGTAAAATAAGAAGCCAACCTTATCACTGTCTGTAACCTACTAACAAGCTAAGGAAAGCATCAGATGAGCTACCTGAGAAACTAACTTACGTTTCCCCACTTTAAAACCAAACAAACATGGTTTCTCATCCTGCTGATCAGCTATCTTCACTGCCATTGAAGGCTCCAACGTGTTTTCTTTTCAGGTGCTGCGTCATAACAGTGGTGCTTCCGTGCCATGCTCATTTGTTTTTTACAAAAGTTGCATGTTACGACTTTTTTCACTTTACAAAGCGCAGGCTATTTTAATTATTGTGATCAATTTGCGCCGTCAATCCCGGGGCATGCGCGCTTCATTTGCAGTCTGGACGCTGAGGGTAAACTCCTCACTAAAATCCCGCGGCTCGGACTGCAGCACTGAGAGGGATTCCTGTGGGAGAGGGAGAACGGGGTTGGGATGGGGGAGGTGCCCCACAGCAGCAGCTGCCGCTGGAGGACAAGAGCAGGAACGATACATGCTTTCACGTAAGAGTCTCCAAAAGCCGCCAGTGGCACCGTAAAAAGTTGCCAGATTTGTCGCTAGTCGCTTTTTAAAAAAATAGTCGCTGGAGGGGTCTAAAAAGTCGCTGAGTTGGCAACACAACTGCGGCGCTGACTCGCTCCGCCATATTTTTTTTTCTTCCCCGGGATGACGGCGGCGGCGGATGACGCATTAATCGCGCGACACAACTAATCGATGATTAAATTCGTTGCCAACGCTTTTAAAAGTCGATTTTTATCGATTTTATCGATTCGTTGTTGCAGCCCTAGTATAATGTAAAGGTTGAAACAGTGATGTCACTCAAATGGAGAACAGTAGGCATAAGAACAAGTAACCAATTTGTCCTTACCCTATGGGTTACATAGATTTTAAACAGAAGTGACTTGGTAACAGTATCCACATTAAAATGTAGTGTTGTCATCATGACTTTACTGGTTTCTAACCAGTTAGAGCTTAATAAGCTAAAATCTATCACTAGTTGATTTCTTTATAGCTCTCTACAGCCTCTTTCCCACTGAAGGTTCCCTGTTAACAATCTACATTTGGCTCTCTTGTCAATTGCAAAAAAGCTTTTATATGTAAGTATGTATATGTGTGTGTACGTGTGCCATTCACTGTTTTAGTCTACTTTAGATGATGACAGAATAGTTAATCTGAGTAACTGTGTGGAAGAGGGATGACTCACTGAAATCCTCTTTCTCAAGAAATTCAGCTGTAGTCACTGAGATAATATCCGGGGTTGGACTTTTGGTTTATTGGCAAGTTGACACATAGTTTTTGATCCTGGCTTTGTTCACAGCTCTTATTATTTAAACGAATTATTTAGTTTTCAGAGATTGAATAGAAGTTTGCTTGTCCTCAAGAGCCCCTGTACTCCCATGTTTTCAGTTTTTGTTAGACATTTTTAAGATAGCTTAATTAGTAAGGAAAAGGTTTAAATCCAAACTTTTTCTTCAAGGCTGTTCCCAAAGTGCTATTGATTCTTTTATTTAATAGTTTGATTTATTTTTTGTTTCTTAACTTTTTAACAGTACAATTTTTGAGGGAAATAGCTGGGATTTTTCTGTATTCAGAAAAATGTGTAAAAAAACAAAACAAAAATGATTATCAGTTTTTTGTTGCACATTTTAGGATTTAATTGAGTCGAAATCAACCTTTTTCATACTAATTATCAAAATGTGGAATGTAAGGGTTGTAATGATGTCTTATATGTTTAAATGCTCCAAAAATGGCTCTACAGCATGTAAAAATGTGCCCTGACAAATTATTTCTATGGTTGGTCATTTAGGGTCAAAGGTGATTTATTTTGTTGTTGTTTTTTTATAGGAAATTTGGGGGCTGGCAGGAAAAGTGGGAACTTGTATTTAAGGATGTCTGTATTTTTTTTAATCTCTTTTGGTGCCTTCCTTGGGTTTAAGCAGAGTTACTGCATCAGATTTTTCTTTTTTGGTGTCTGCTTCCCTGATATTGTCTATAAAACAAAAAGATGGCGCGAAATCCTCCACCTACAACCACTGTTATTGCTGTGTGCATTCCCTGATCCATCTGGCCCCACCTCTATAGGTATTTGTAAGCAGAGGTATGCAGCGCTCCTGTAGGGGTTGATTTTTTTCTTTAAGCATAAATGGGGACGATTTAGGAATCGTTTCATTTTATTTAAAACTATTACTACTAAAACTTTTACACCTCTGATGTGTTTAAGTCCTATATAAAAGGCTATATAAAACACGTATGTATGTATGTGTATATATGTGTATATGTATATATATGTGTGTGTATATGTATATGTATGTATATATATATATATATATATATATATATATATATGTGTTGGCGTTATATAGTCTAAAGCAGTTAGAGGGTTAATAACGCTTTAAATCTGACAGCGCATATATATACACTCACCAGCCACTTTATTAGGTACACCTGTCCAACTGCTCGTTAACACTTAATTTCTAAGCAGCCAATCACATGGCGGCAACTCAGTGCATTTAGGCATGTAGACATGGTCAAGACAATCTCCTGCAGTTCAAACCGAGCATCAGTATGGGGAAGAAAGGTGATTTGAGTGACTTTGAACGTGGCATGATTGTTGGTGCCAGAAGGGCTGGTCTGAGTATTTCAGAAACTGCTGATCTACTGGGATTTTCACACACAACCATCTCTAGGGTTTACAGAGAATGGTCCGAAAATGAAAAAACATCCAGTGAGCGGCAGTTCTGTGGGCAGAAATGCCTTGTTGATGCCAGAGGTCAGAGGAGAATGGCCAGACTGGTTTGAGCTGATAGAAGGGCAACAGTGACTCAAATAACCTCCCGTTACAACCAAGGTGGGCAGAAGAGCATCTCTGAACGCACAGTACGTAGAACTTTGAGGCAGATGGGCTACAGCAGCAGAAGACCACACCGGGTTCCACTCCTTTCAGCTAAGAACAGGAAACTGAGGCTACAATTTGCACAAGCTCATCGAAATTGGACAATAGAAGATTGGAAAAATGTTGCCTGGTCTGATGAGTCTCGATTTCTGCTGCGACATTCGGATGGTAGGGTCAGAATTTGGCGTGAAAGCATGGATCCATCCTGCCTTGTATCAACGGTTCAGGCTGCTGGTGGTGGTGTCATGGTGTGGGGAATATTTTCTTGGCACTCTTTGGGCCCCTTGGTACCAATTGAGCATCGTTGCAACGCCACAGCCTACCTGAGTATTGTTGCTGACCATGTCCATCCCTTTATGACCACAATGTACCCAACTTCTGATGGCTACTTTCAGCAGGATAATGCGCCATGTCATAAAGCTGGAATCATCTCAGACTGGTTTCTTGAACATGACAATGAGTTCACTGTACTCAAATGGCCTCCACAGTCACCAGATCTCAATCCAATAGAGCATCTTTGGGATGTGGTGGAACGGGAGATTCGCATCATGGATGTGCAGCCAACAAATCTGCGGCAACTGTGTGATGCCATCATGTCAATATGGACCAAACTCCCTGAGGAATGCTTCCAGCACCTTGTTGAATCTATGCCACCAAGAATTGAGGCAGTTCTGAAGGCAAAAGGGGGTCCAACCCTATACTAGCATGGGGTACCTAATAAAGTGGCCGGTGGGTGTATGATCTGCAGGGCAGAACAAAAACAAAATAACTACAAATTGGTGTTTGCCAGGCGAAGGCTGAAAGCTAAATTTGAAATGTATTTTATTGAAATGCATTATTTATTTTTTGCTGTGTTCATTCAAATGTTTAATGAGAAAGTGAATTGTTGCAGAAAAGCCTTTAAACTACCCTTCATTGTGTTATCTGACTTTTCTCTTTTTTTTTTATTCGTATCTTCAGAATCTGAATGACATCTTCATTCGTGATGGAGTTGAGCAGGCAACTCTGTATGAAGATGAGGAAAAATAAGAAGACCCAGTTTTCCTCCCTTCCTGCTTCCACGTTGGGCCTGGAAATCCACTTCTATGATCCAGAAATACGCCACCTGGAGTATATCAAAGGATCCTTCACAGCTGAAGAACTATGTGTGACTGCTGCCAAGAAGTGCTGTAAGTGACAACTTTGTTGTTAATCAGGTTCTATCTTTAACATATACTGATGGTTAGAGAAATATTGCAGTCATTGATGTTGGACATTTAATTTGAACTCCAAGATAGAAATTTGCATTTTGATGCAAAGACCTAGATAGTAAAATAGAGTTCCAGGCATAGTTTATCAAATCTCAAAACAACTTGATAACAAAGTGCAACACAGTAATACAGTAAAGTGATGATAGCTAATCAAAATAAGCTTTTCTGTCCACTTAGTTTTTGAAAAAAAATTTATTTCAGATTATCTGGAAAGGGGGTTAAAAACTATATCACTACAGATTTTAAACAAAGTCATATCTTTGACTTGAGTCTAGAGATGTCCCGATCCAGGTTTTTGCACTTCCGATCCAATACCGATATTGTTTTTGGACTTCCGATCCGATACCGATACTGGCCGATACCAGCCTATCCGAGCATGTATTTAAGTTTAACTTAAAGTATTTAGCCTTAGTTGTAAGACTCATGTTGAAAAGGGTTTTAGTACTCTTGATAACATCTAGCCAGCTAAATTAGGTGAGATTGAATAAAACACAATGATTGGTAACAACAAACTTACCTGTTTATTAAGAGATAAACACAAACTGGACAAAATTATGAATAGCAATCTAATATTGCACAGTGAGCAGTAAAACCGTAAACAGTTAAAGGTGCTATATTACTGTAAGTTTTAATAAAAATGCAAAACAGACAGGAGTGGAAAATAGTCTATTAACTTAGAATCAGGACTCTACTCTTGAAAAAAGACACTGTTAAAAAAAAATCTGTGCAAATAATAGTTAAACAAAAATGCCTTATACTCCCCAATGTCCTCCACACCTAGTCTCCATCTACACATCGTGCAGGATAAACATTTTCCCCGCTATCTTCCAATTCACCTGTTTTAATGGTTAGGCCGGGAGACAAACCCAAAAAGACCCGTGGGTGTGTTGAAGGTGTTCTGGAAAATACGGACCGGATTCGGGGAACACTGGCGCAAAAGAGTGGAATGGATTGTTTCAAACGGCGAAACTGGAAAATACGGACCAGACTTTTTTTTTAAAAATGGATCGGCAGTCTGGATCGGCATTTTTACATTCTTTGCCGATACGCATTTTTTTGCCAATATCGGCGTCCGATCCGATACATGGATCGGATCGGGACAAGCCTACTTGAGTCACTTTTGGCTTGATTTGGATTCAAGATTTGACACCGATAATTAACTTGAAGTCTAAAAACTCAAATGTTCTAAACCCTGGAGCTAGATGGGGGCTGGTTTCCTGAGCAGGCAGGCAGATGACTAATAAACAAACCAATTTCATGTGTCATATTGTGTTGTTGTTGTTTTAAGGAACAGAATTTCAGTACAGTTAAACATTCTGTAAAATAAGCACCTAAAAATGAACAATGACTTGGGTATTGGGTGTTTATATTTTTGAAAACCAGAGCTTCGTCTGGATGAACCAAAGACGACTCTTTTAGAGCTTTTTGAGGCTTAGAAAATGATGGCCTCTCCAAGGTGATTTAGAAGTTGTTTTTTAAGGAAAAATGTAGCATTTATCAGTGATTTTAAGTTTCACCTGTGCTTATTTGAAAAATGCTGAGGGACAGTGAGACCTTGACAGGAAATGACATGGGGTCGCCAGGGGTAACTGCAGGTCCAAAGCGAAGGGTCTGAGAGCCTGGTGATTTCCTAAATGTAAAACAATCATTCCAGCCACTAAATAATGTAAATATGCCCACTGTTATATGCATTTCAAGCACAGGAATGATATGGGATGTTATGCAATAACTTTATAATAGGAACAAGCACAACATCTAACATCTGCTGGGATGGTAACGTCATCAGCTGTGATTAAAAATAATTCTGTCTTAAAAACCTAATCGGCAAAAACGACACTAGCACTGAAAAAGGAGGCTGGATGATTTTAATTCAATTTGGAGCTTAATGAGGGGATAGTGTACCTCTGTCTCTCTTTTACATCAGTGGTGTGTCAGCTGAAGCCCCTCCTATTTGATGATCCGGTCCAGGGTGTAAACGCTGCATCTGAGCTGCAGAGCAGTGAACTACCTGCGGGGCTTGTGGAAATATCAACACGTTCACTGCCTGTTGTGTGAACGCACCACTAGACATGACCAGTCATTGAGTAATAACATTATGCTGGATTCCAAACAAAATGCTAAAAAAAAACGGACTTGCGTTCTCGTCAAGTCCGGTCTTGGCAAGAACAAAGTAAAGTATGGACTTGGTGAGCACGCAGCACAGATATGGGTCAATTGGAACAGAAGCATACTCGTGACGTCACACGCTCGGCTCGTTTAGAGCTTTATTTCACCTCCTGTTATTAATAGTCTCTAGATAATAATAAAGTATTACTTTTTTATTAGTGGGGGAATAATGATGGACAATCTCAAGATCGGACAAGTTTGCTCTGATGCATACTTGATAAAGAGGGCGGGGCGAGAACAACATCCTGGGATTTGGTGCGTTCTCGGTCTGGCCTTCTCAGCAATTGGAACAGTGCTCGGGCTGAGGCTGATGACGTATCACGAGCACACAAGAATGCTCAAGAATGCATAATGAGAAGCAGCGAGGGTTTTGCTTGAAAGCAATTGTATTAATTCAGTAACTAAATTCAATCAAGGAGCACTGTAGACGTTCTGACTAAGCAACTTTAAAGGTCTTCAGAAAAGCTGAGCTAAAATCCGGTTGTATTCCAGTTTAAGCCCGTTTTGTGTGGATAGCGAAGAATTTACACAGTTAACTTGGTACAAATAGAAATTGTTTATTTTTAAGGACTTCTGTATGTTGAGTCTCTCTATATTGATTAACCAGTACATGTAGCTCAGTAGGCTGTTTCTGCTATGCCATTTAAGGACTTTCATTTTCCTTTTCAATAGTTCTTAGTTTTACTATTGATCTCTTATATATTGTGTTTTTCTCATCCTTAGCTATTTCTCCATTGTGCCATAACTTGTTTGCCCTTTACAATGATGCAACTGGCACCTGGTATTCTCCAAGCCACGAGTTCAAGGTCACAGAGGACTCCGGTATCAAGTTGCACTATCGCATGAGGTAAGAATGATATCACAGCAGTAGCTGACTATGCTGGGGTTAGATGTACCCTACCTCATATTGATGCATTAGTAATATGAGATTCTTCTTTCTTGTATCTGCGTCGGTCGATGTCGATGACATTATTGCATTCAGCAGCCATGTGTAGCGTGTGCATTGATGCTCCTTCCATTTGCTATCAATTATAACTTTTTAATAGATGTTTCCTTTCTTTTTTTTGGTTTAAATTAAGACTAATGTAACATTTACCATCAGTGTCAATTGTATTGTACATTGAGGAAGAATAATCATTATCAACCTCATGAATTTACCTAAAAAAAATCAGTAGCACATATCGGGGGTCCTTTAGACTAATAGGTAGAGGTCTAGTAAGGAGACATTTATCAAATTAAAACGGTTATTTGTGTTTAATGAATAAAGAAATTTGTGGAATTTATTTAAGCAATTTTAACTGGTAAACTTTGTCCCTGCTTATGATGGGACTGCATGCAGGTGAGACTAGGTATGCACCCATACCGGACCCGATACCTCAGAGTCGTGTGTTAATGAGCTCCAATAAGGAAAAACAATGATACTCTCTTATTTTTCCTTCATACAGCATGTATTTGCATACATATACTCCATCCCAATTAGTGATGGTAATGGATCATAAAATGAATTTTCCAAGTGAATAAAGGTGATAGAAGAAGCAGTCCCTTTTATAAAAATTTTTTAAGCTATTTCCCAAAGTTGGTTTAGCTTCCATGCTGGTCGGAAAGCAAAGATCTGCTGCTCTGAAAAAACTTAAAAAGCACAATTCAAGAGAAGCTTATTCTCAACGAAGGCTGCAAGTCATGTTAAGCAAAGATGTCAAGATGAATAAAAGAAAAAAATCTGTATCTTACCTGCACCAGATTCAAGGTAAAAGTCCACCTTTGTCTGCTTAGCATTTCAGAGAATATGATCAAAACCCTTCATTATGACTGACTTTATTTGGTGTTCAGATTGGAATATTCAGTATTGGCAAGTATTAAAATGCCAGTACCTGTCCCCTTAGGAAAAAAAACGGTATTTCCGACCTTGTAAAATTAATACTTGAGTTTATCACATGTGACTAAATAGTGCTGCTGTTGCAAAATTGACATGCGCTTGAATTTTTGCATATAAATCTGATTACGGGCTAATAGGATTTACTGGTTTCTTCCGCCTGGAAAGGATCACGTAAGGAATAAACAACAATCTGATAAAAGCTAATTTGAGCAATGAGGCTTTATAAAGGCATATTGTGTTTTTGAGAGTATTTTATTATTATGAAATATATAAAAAATAAAATCTTTGAAAGGCCTTTCAAAAGGCTTTATGTCTGGTGAAATGTTTTCTCTTAGTTTCATTATCCTCACTGAAAAGAGACATGGGCTGGAAATGAAGTTGGTGCACCGAAAGCTGCCTGAAAAGCCAGACTTATGATTTCAAATCTACTCAGACTTTAAAGAAAAGTTCAAGTTTACCTATATGACTGAAAGTTTGATGACACAGAAATTAAAATGTTTAGCCTCTGACTATTTTTTAATTTTGGAGGAAAAAGGGGAAAGCTTCGAAGCTTGAAAACACAACCCCATCTCTTAAGTAGTGGAGCTGCAACGTCATTATGTGTGGGTGTTTTGTTTTTTTTTGCGCAGCAACTGCTGCTCTTTACAAATTAGATGACTTGATGAGGAAATCACTTTAAGTGGAAATATTGACAAAGCATCTCAAGAAATCAGGCTAGAAAAACCAAAGTCTTAGATGGACCGGATTTAAAGCATTACACTGGTTTTTTGCCTCATTTTATAATTTAGATACATTGAATAAGTTATTTCTTATTAAACATTCTACATTTACATAAATGTAATTTATGTAATTTTTACACTAATGTAATTTAGCGAAACCCGCTCTGAAAACAAAGGTTTAGGTAAGCATGTTTTTTCTTTTTACTCTTGTGTTAAAAGATGCAATCCATAATCGTTTTAAATAATATTACCATCTAAATCATATATATTTTATTAATTGCTGTAACTTATGACAATACTGAATATAAAATATAAACTGATCATTAGGTACAAGTTGTGTATAATTATTTAAAATGATTTCACAGCTTGAAGATAAAAAAAAGAACAAATGTGAGTACGGACTGACCCGTACCTGTAATAAAGAGAAAACTCCAGTCAACCGGGCAACGTCTGTTAAATCTCATCAAAAGCATATTACAGCATGTGATGTATTTTATTGGCATGAAATACCTTGATGCTGTAACTCCTCATACATTGATATTTCATTTTAAATTAACTAGATTAGAATCATAAAGTGATTAAAAAAGTAGATTCCAAACTCTGAACAACAGATCCAAAAGACCAGAGAGCCTTTTATCCCTGGGTTTGAATCCTATTGATCAGGTTGTAGTTTTTCTACGAATCTAACAGTACTCTTCAAGTTCCCCTTCAGATATTCCAATGTAGCTGTTAGGCAACATTTAATGCAGTGTCACTTCCCCTTTTGTTCTGTCTGTCCCTTTGTCAAAATGAGTTTCTTTTGGATGGAGTTAAAAGTGCCTCATCTAATTTTATGATCTTCTCTGTGCAGTTTCTGTTTGGGACCGGCCTTAGGTTCATAGATCAAAGAAGCTGTGTATTGTGGTTTTGCCTGATATAAAAAGTTTTTTAGTTTGAAACAAAATATGATAAATAAGTTGCAGCAGGCTACCTGGGTAAATGCTTGTACTTAATGTACAGCTAAATATATACAAAAAGCAGCATATGTTGACATGCAGTCACACCTCAGTACGTTTGAATATTGCATGTCCTTCATACATCAGAGCGGGGCAGTGGGTAAAGCACGCACTCTGGTTGCAGGAAACGCCTTGTCATCAAAACGTTGGAATTTGCAATCCTAAAGCTGCGTTCAGACAAAAAGCAAATTTTGGGCTGGAGGGAGTGATTTACCCGTTATCCCTATATAGGGGGCAGTTTGGAAGAGCTGCAAGGAGAATTTTGCTATTCTGGCAACACAAAAGGTGTGTTTTTGGTTATTACAGCAAAGCAAGAGACCTGCCGCGCCTGCTAAAGATGAGGTACAAAATTCGCAGGTGTCACCAAAACCAATCGGGGACTAGATGTAGCTGGGTGAAGGAGCGTAGTACAGACTTTTTAAATCAAAACGGAAGAAAGAGAAAATGATGTAGAGAGAGACACCACCGTCTGTCTCATCCTGGATCTAGTGCTCTCTGAAAGTGTTCTTTCACTGATTTCTTGAAATTGTAACCAGCAGACTCTGTGACGTAATGGAGCCTTTTACCCCGTGGTGAGAGTTGCTTTCGCTCTCTAGGCGAAATTCTAGCGTAACGTCAGGATGGCAAAAGCACATAAAACTGGCAGATTTTGACAGGTTTTCTTGTTGGTGTGAATATACTTTTACAAGGTGTTGATGGTGTTTCACTGCACAGATTGGTGAAATGTCTTTTGTTTAGAGAAACCCAGCTGATCCCGCAGAGTCATTGACTGTAGATTGGTGGCTAGAGATGTATTATTGGATATTAATATCAGTATCGATTGTAATATTGAAGAATATTCCAGATGGGGTATCTATGGCGATGGTTGCAGTCCATAGGCATAGATGTATTCAGTCTATTTCTGTCAAATGTCATACACTAGTGACACGCCTTGCAGTGTGCCTTGCAATTGTTTCAAAATGGAGCTGCCTGTAGGAAAGGCATGTGTACATTCATACATATCATACTTGCTTGTGGAGAGGAGTTTATGGCAGACTGTTAAAAAATCTACTGTAAGGATGATAACGGTAAATTAAAGAGAGCTCTGATGTTGCAAAAGGTATTGATCGACAGACATCCAAATTCAGGTATTGGAATTGAAACAGAGGTGTATATGTGTATATACACCTGCATAATGTTATCAAATGTTATTTGCCTAGGTTGAGCTTTTAACCTGATGTTTTTGTCCTTCCTTGAGGTTTTACTTCAAGAACTGGCACGGCACCATAGAGGGAGAATCACCAGTTTGGAGACACTGCCTCAGTAAACTCAGAAACCAGAGCCCACAGAAAATTCCAGAGGGAACACCGCTGCTTGACATTGGTTCCCTTGAATACCTTTTTTCCCAGGTTTGTACTCTGAAGGTTAAGCTTTTAATCAAATGCTTGTCTCTATACCGTATCCTGTCAATGTAACAATACTTATTCTTCTCTGATATCTTGTCTTTTTTCTTCTATGAATGATGTCAGTTTAATCCTAATGCTGGTTATATATATATATTTTTTTTGCACAGTGCCAGCATGACTTTCAGACAGGCAGGGTTCCTCTGAGGACGGCGCAGTCAGAAGCCGAGCAACACGAGATAGAAAATGAATGCTTGGGCATGGCTGTGCTTGCTATTACTCATTATGCCAAGTACAAGGAAATACCATTTTCAACAGCTTCCCGTGAGATGAGGTAATGATATCCCAACATACAACATTTAATATCCATGTTCCCTTTGTTTAAAAAGCAAGTTTTGTAAAACTCTTGATTTAAATGTTTTATTCTCTCTCTAAATTCCTATCAGTTACAAGCGTTTTATCCCAGAGTCACTGAACGCCAACATAAAGCAGCGCAACTTTTTGACGCGAATTCGCATCAGCAATGTCTTCAAGAAATTCCTCGCCGAATTCAACACCCAAACTGTTGGAGAAAGCAACATCACCTGCTATGATCTGAAGATCAAATATCTGGCCACTATGGAGGGGTTGACCAGCAAATTAGGCAGCGAACTCTTCGAGCCCACCTCCCTCAGTGTGATACAAGAAAAGGAGGTCCTGACTGGAGGTTACTATGGTAAAAAATATATACATCAACACATGAAATCCAACTATTATATAATGTGTGTGTGTATATATATGTGTGTGTATGTGTATATATGTATGTATATGTATATTAGTGGTGGTCATAGATAATGTTTTTTAATCTAGATTAATTTCACAGTAATCTTGGAATTAATCTAGAGTAATGTAGATTAAAATCGCTCATTTGAATTCTGCCAAAAGAATTTAATATATGTGTGTGCTACATCCAGAATTTAAAAGGAAAGGTCTAGTGTTTTTTTTATTTTTTATTTTTTTATTTGTTATTTCTTCGTACATTGTCCTGTTCAACATTATGCCAGCAGAACTCAAATCTGAGTAATATGCTGAACAAATTTGCTTTGCCAAGGGAGGCTTTTTTTGGCCTGCTTTATTTAATCATTTTGTTACCAAATTGACATGTGTGTAATGCTGAACCTGACAGAGGGACAGAAGAAAGAAAAGCAGTGGAAAGGAGAGAGATCCTTTTGACAGAAAGAGAGGAGAAAAAAAAGAGACAACATAACCATACAACCAGCAGCTATGTCTGTAAAAAAGAAATTGTTCCTTTTGGGCAATCCAGATGGAGAACCCTGTAGGAGCTCCTGCAAATGGACACCAGGAAGACAAACAAACAAACAAGCAACAAAAGCAACAACACTGGTGGAGCAGACATTAGTGAGCTTCTTAGGATTGTGCAGCAACTCTACAGAAGATTTTTCTTTGCAAAATCACACGTAAATCCGTCTCTTAAGATTTTGACTAAGTCATAAATACTTTTTTTTTTGCTTATTACTGTGTTTTGCTGCAAAAAAAATGTGTCCCACTTCCAATTATGGATGTCCCACTTTAACGATATAGTGTCTCTAAAAATCTGACACACGTCGCCTCTATCAACTTCTCCTCTTTCGCAGCTTTCTCCGCAGGGTGCTGGTAATGTATTCTTATGATAGCTCGCCTCACAGCTAGTTTGTAAGATGGGTCACCTGGCCACCTGGAGAACGCCTCGAGAAAGCATGGCTGATGGGCTGTCAGCTTGTGTCTAGCCTACACAGGTTGGAAGACTGATTTGCTCCCGCCCCCAGATATACATTCGTGCTAAAATATCAAAGCATCATTAGTATTGACCCAACTGTGAGAATATTTTTCTTTTGCGCCCGACAACAGCCTGGCCTTAACGCACCAAATAACAGTCAACCGTTTAAATATATATAAACGGGTGAAGTGTTAAAAACCCAAACCAATGACCCCACGGCCCAATCTCTCCATTGCCTTGAATAGGGTGTGTGCAGCATAATAGGCTGCAATACAGGGGATGAATTTCCCATGCAGTCCTATGGATTTGGCTTTAATTAATGTTGCATAGGTGCACCCAACAGCTTTGATACAATTAGTAGTAGTGGTAGTATGAGCGTCGCTTGACAGGGAGCTTATTACTGTCATAAGACATGCTCAGTGTTCTTGTAGTAAACCCTCACATAGTAAACACTGCATCATGGCATCAGCAGCGGTGTGAATACACACCAGTGCCATCTTGGCTGGGGGCTGCAGTTACCTGTGGTGCCAGTTATGTCACTCATGGGTCTAATTTCCTCATCTTGCCTCTAGTTCCTTTAAGTAAAATGAGGTTAAACTGTGTGAGCATTTTTTGATCATTTCTGAGATGGTTATATGGGTACAAGATTGTATTATTGCATGGTATGTTGTTTGGAACCAAAAGGCAATATAGAGCTAATTACTCATTTTTAGATTGTGCTCCTGCCAGTGAAATTCAGACACGTTTGCATTTCGATGACATACATGCATGATTCAAAAATTAAGGGGGGGGCGGGGGATTGAGCTTTAAATGAACCTGAAATTAAAATACTTTGGTGGTTTTTCTCCATGTAGGGAAGATAAAAACAGATGTTTAAAGTGCTTATGTAAAAATGTAAATAACTGGTATTTAAGTATTGAATCTTTTAGGAAAATGTACAAAACATCACTGGGAAGAGAAATATGGATGTGTACTTAAGTTCTTCGGCCAAGAATCTGTAACATAAAGACTTTTTCTTTACTTGCTCCAGGTAACTATAACCAGGGCCAGGTGCAGATTAAAGGTCAGAACCAGAACTTTGAGGCAAGCCAGGGCATGCAAGTCCTGATCACTGGCACCACTGGGATTTCTTGGAGGCAAAAACCAGCTCCAGTAAGTAGACAAACAAAAAACAACTCAACCATCTGTAGCCTGTGTAGTAAATGTGTCCTTACAGTACAAATGTCATGTTAGGAAAATGTATCAGCGACACATAATTCACTGTGTTGTTATAAGGTTTTTGTTTGGTCATTGATATCGTTGAATGTATTTGCTTAGATTTTTTTTCCCATAGATGCAGGTTTATGAAATTAACTGTGTTGGTATCAGTTTACTTCTCACTCTCAGGAGCTCAGCATTTTAAAAAGGTACCATTAAAGGAAGCCACCAGCAATGAAATGCCTTACTTAATATTCCACAGTCAACTGTCAAGCGGTAACGTTTGGAAATAACAGTAAACCAGACAGCATTGTCAGTGGATACCGAGGGACTTGGTGTCTGGAAGCTATCCTTTCACCCTACAAATACCTAGAGAGAGCTTATTGAAATGGGTTTCCATGGTAGAGCAGCTGCATTCAGGCCTTAAATCACTCGGGAACAAATGCTAAGAGCTGGAAGCAGTGGTTTAAAGCTCCATGCCACTGATTTGTCAGGTGCCTCTAGAAAAACAGGTTTTTGGGTTGTTGTGTAGCACGTGTGAAATTTGATGCTGAAAGCTTTTTTTTGGTGCCCCTGATATAGATGAGTGGTTAAGCCATCCAGAGATTCTTACAGATCATAACCTGATATTTCATTTAAACAGTCCCTTTAAAAACTTATTTAGCTTCATGCTTAATCATTTTAGGAGGAAAAAATTTTAACGGAGCAAATTTTCACGGCTGTTTTTTTTTTTTTTTTTTTTCTTGGGAGGGTGTGCATGAGAATTTGATTTGTGCGTTTGCATGCTCATGTGGATGTAGCGTTAGCTTCAACTATAGTAGGTAAACAGTTACACAGCAGTTACTGACTGCTCGCAGGCAAGTCACTGATTGGTGGAACCACCCCTTTTGGTGAAACAGAGATAGGAATGTTTTAATAGCAAGGCAGGCTAATGTTGGTATCATTCCAGGGATGATGTCATAATGGGAACATGACCAAAGTCGCTCTCTGTCGAGAGCACACTCTTCTGGGCATTTCTGGTTTTAACAAATGGCTCACAAAAAGAAAAACAATCCACTTTGACACTATAATTTAACTTAAGCCTAAAGTCCAACACACCCTTTTTTTACTTAAAAATAAATAAATAAAAAGATTTCCTTGTGAGGACTTCTTTTATACTATAATATCCCAAGACCTGTTGTGCTCCTGAATACAGAGAAACCGTTTGGTTAATGTTAAATGCCTTTTCAAACGTGACCAATGCAGAAAGTACCTAGACATATTTGGAATTTTGTTTTGTACAGCTTTCATGACATTTCCATTTTTCAAAGTGCAGCAGTGATCAAATGTAATCATTGTGCCAAACACGGTATAAAAAACACATTGATAATGAAGTTCCGAGCATGAAATATATATATGGTGCTAATATGCAATGTTTTTAGTAAGGTCTGTAAGTGATAATTCAGCCAAACAGTTGTGGAAAAGTAGAGAGTTCTAGCTGCAGCCTCATTGGACACAGCTTGGCTAAAGTAGAGCGGAAACCTTCAAACCATCTTGTGTAGGACCTCAAATAGCCACTTTTGGTTGTTAAAATTCCCATGAACACAAATCCCAGTAGCTTTAACCGAGAATAATAGTGTCATTATCCTAAGGTAATCTGCAGAATGTGGCTTTTTGTCAAATGAAAAGCTGTATTCAATTAATGTTTTATGAATTAAACAGGTTCCTTCGACGCTAAAAGATAAGAGCAAGTTGAAGAAAAGCAAGCAGGATGAAAAACAGAAGAATGGCAGGAATAAGGAGCTGAATGACGGCTGGGTGCTCTTCTGTGATTTCCATGAGATCACACACACGATCATCAAAGAGACAACCGTCACAATCATGAGACAGGACAACAAGAAAATGGTGAGAGAGATGGACAAACACGCCTGTGATGGAATTCTACTTATAAGGGATTTTGATATTATGATCTAATGATAAAGTCTGATTTTTCTTTCTTTTTTTTATTTATATGCTAGCATCAACCGCTACATCTCAATAGATAAAAAATGTGATATTGTTAATCCAGTTATTCAAATGTAGAACAAAATGGAAGTTATATAGAAGTTCATTTTACTCTAATTTGCTTCAACCATTTGTTTTAACAGGTAATGAAGCAATGAATGAAAGTAAATCCTACATTTCGTCTGAAGTTAAAGGCTGTTTATTTGGCCCCTCAGGCAACAAATAAAGAGACTTTTATTTCAGAAGAATTTGCCTTGGACTAGTCCCAGAGTTTGGAACAAGAGTGCAGAGAGAGTTGGTGGGAATATTTCACTGCCAGCAATGATTTGGGGAGAAAAAGCTTCTGTTAAACCCTAACCACAGCAGTCAGATTTCATCTCACTCATATTATTACCTCTGTAACTCCTTTTTTTTTTAATGTTGCTTTTTTCTTATTATTTTTTTAGTCTGCATGATGGCAAATTTTCTTTTCCACGTGATCTGTGGTTTTTTGTGTCCCAAAACAAATTTGGCTTTGAAAATGGATAATTCCAGATGGCAACTTTATTTTATAAAAATTGCATCAGTCGTTTCATTTATTTATTTAAGAATACAGAAAATATATAATAATGCAATAGAATAAAATATAAAAGTGTATAAACCTAGATACCAAACACAGCACAGCTGCTCAAATGGAGTAGGAAGTTAAAAACTTTTAGGGTCCTACCCTTGTTCTCTCCTTAACACAAAATACCAATGTTGCATCACAAGTCTCAAGAATACAGCTTTCTACCAAAATAGTATGACACATGTACCTAAAGTAAATGTATAACTCAATATCATTGAAAAACACAATTCTAGCAAATCTTTGCACAATTATTTCCGACATCATATATCGTTCAAGCATCCATACACCCCTCACAGTAGTTTGTTCACAGTAATGATATAGGAACCTACCTGCACCATAGGAATATTTGTATGGTGTAGGAGACCCCCTGCTCATTAACAGCTGAGTCTACCACTACCCCACACCTACAAATGCCTCGGTGTTAAATTTTAGGGGCAAGTGTGGTCCAATCAATAGGTGTCAGCAGTTAATGGTTAACATCTTCACTGTTATTAATGTACAAAAATGTTTTCACAGGAACTCCAACTGCTCTCAAGAGAGGAGGCCCTATCCTTTGCGGCCCTTGTTGATGGTTATTTTAGGTTAATTGTGGATGCCCACCATTACCTGTGCAAGGAGGTGGCCCCTGCTTCAGTGGTGCACAATATCGAGAACGGCTGTCATGGACCTATCTGGTTTGTATTGGCAGTTTTTCTTGGTTCGATCATATTAAACAAACGCTTGTTGAATATTATTCATGCATATGTTTAAAATGGTGCTTTTTTTTCTACTGTGGAGGCAGAGATAAACTGCCATAATGAGTCAGTTATAACGGTGTACCACTATGATGTAAAGATCTGCACTAGAAGTTAAAAATTTAAAATCAGTTTTTCTAAGGGTTAACTTGGTCACTCTAAACATGGAAGCAGTCTTCATTTGAAGTGTTGGTGCTGTACTGACACAATTCTAGTGAACCTTGTTTATTTTTTTGTTATATAATGTATTTTTCCCCCCTCCAGTACGGAGTATGCCACCCAAAAGCTGCGTCAGGAGGGCAATGAGGAAGGAACCTACATACTGCGCTGGAGCTGTACGGACTACAACTTCATAATCATCACTGTGGTCTGTTTAGAGGTAGAGTAGAAACTCCATGAATTTTAAGAAGCATTTCTAAAACGGTCCTAGAAATATTTTAGTATTATTTTATATCATCGTTTTTCCTCTATTTCCGGATCTGTGCTCTGTCTTGCCCTGGTTGATGTTTGGGAGCCATTTTCCCACGCAGGGCTTTGTTATAAGTGAACCTTCACTTACTTTAAGTACAAGTTGAAAGCAAAACGCACCGAATGAACAAAACGATAACGTCTACTTTTGGTTCAGACCAAACAAGCAGATCAAAGGACTTGCCTGGTTTGAACACATCCTTAAAGAATAAACATTTATTGCAAAGTTGCTTCATCACATAATAGCTATAGGAGGTATTTTTTTTAAATGCAGTGGTGTTGGCATACTAGAAAATATTTTACCTGAACCTTTATTGTGCTTTGCACTTTGTTTTTGAGGTATTTTAGTCACTGTTTTACTCTGTCCTGTTTTTTTTATCCAGACTCCCACCTTTAATGGCTCCAGTAAGATCCGCCAGTATAAGAACTTCCAGATTGAGGTGGAATCCGACAGTTACCGCCTGTTTGGAACCGACACATCACGACCCACCTTAAAGGAGCTGCTGGACCATCTGGAACGCCAGAATCTTCACACTGACAACGTGCAGTTCCAGCTAAAACGCTGCTGCCCTCCACAGCCTAGAGGTAATAAAAGATAAACTCATCTAATATATCCAGTAAAATTCCAGACAGTCCAAGTACAAAGTATCAGTTCAAAAGACGAGGTTAAAAACAACAACCTGCACTCAACATGGGTGTAAATGTTTCTAATTTTGGGGCTTTAAATGATGTGGTTTGTTATTTCTTTTTCGGTGTGAAAATGACTATACAACTTATCTTACTTACAAATATTTCGCCTGGCCAGCTAGACTAACTCAGTGCATAACAGTATATAACTCATTCTGGTGAGGCTCACTACCCTCCAGACCTGACCAATCACAGGGCAGAAGGTGGGTCCACAATGCAGCAGTGCTTTTCTCTAACCCTAGCAGTCAGGATAGTAGTTGCAGCAGACGTTGTTTATAGAAGCCCTTTATTATGTCCTTGAAGAGCAGTTTATATTGTGAAAATGTCAAAAAAAGCTGCAGTAATTTCTTTTAAATAGTTTTTTTTCCCGTATTACAACTGTAGTTCTCTGATTGGTTGTTTCCACTAACTGTTTGTCCAGCCTTTGATATCAAACTCTAGTTCTGTTCCAGACTGGTATGCCGTATGCACACAGAACGGGAATTTGTTGCAACGTCCAAATATCTGCTTTTTCTTTAGCAGGTTACTCGGAAAGCAAATGGTTTTTGTAGCCTTCAACAAAGATCATGTTCTGACTGAACATTTAACTAACTCTGCCTTTTAGAAATGGTAAAAGTCAATTGAAGCTGGTTTCCATTCAGACAAATACTTTTCACTTGTTTCACAAGTTTTAATCCAGACTATTTCTGAACCTTAACAACCAGTTAAGGTATTTCTAAAACAATTTTTCTTTGGGTTAGGGATCATTGCTCCATTCAAACCTTCAGTTGTGCCCAGGTTTAGACCATCTAGCTCCTGATTCTTTGTGGTAAACTAAGAAGTTCGCTTCGATTCCTCCATTCACTCTGCAACACGCCACTGGCAGCAGGCTGCTTTGCACCATAATCAGTATCTTTAGGTTCAAATGCCTCTTATTGAGCTTCAGTAAGACTTTAGCATTTTAGCATAAGAGCTCAGTTATATCATCTGACCATACTAGTACTTATAATTTATGCTTGAAAGTAAACTCTGTGCCAGCTAGTGAAGGGAAAATGTTATAATTCAAACTTTATTGAATTTTGTACAAAATACAGTAAATATGCCAACATGCCACACTGACCTTTCAAGGTCTGCTTTACAGTTAGCCAGTTGGTAAAAGCATACCACTTATAATCATACTGATGCATTTTAAATAGGAGGCTGTATGTCACTTTCTCACAAGAGACCAGTTTAACTATAGTTTTTAGCCATTCATATAAGAGTTATTTTTCATCCAGTGTCTTAATAAAGTCATGTTTGCTGCAGTCAGAGCCAGAACAAGCCACCTCTTGTCAAAAGGTGAAAAGTGAGTCAGGAAGTTCTACTGAAAAAGGTGTTTATTACCTTTATTGCTTAAATATCCAAGCAGAATTATTGCAGGACTTTGTTGATTGCTTTAGAAGGAATGTGGTTTCCCTGCATGATGATTCCATGTAAACATCTCATCAACACTTTCGTTACCTGAATGACTGATATTCAGTTTGTTTGCACAATATGATTCCTGTATCATATTGCCTGTATTACCAGCTGATGGAAAGCAAACGGTGAGCCATTGAAGAAGGTTCAATCTTTTTGTTGAATATAAGTATGTTTCAGTTCTGGAAATCCTTGTGTCTTTTATTTTTCTGTTATTTTGCAACATAAGCAACACTTCCTTCTCTATAACAATTAGAATAGCTGCAGAAGAACAACCTTCACCTTGGTGCTGTGGTTACTGCACTCCAGTATAATGTTCTGTATGCAAGTCGAACAATTCAACCCTCAGTGTATGTAATGCCAAGATCTTTATCACCAGAAAGATGAATGTGGACTTGCTCTAAAGGTGTAGGTGTGTTTGTGTTGGGGTAAGGAAACTGTGTTGGCAGTGTCAGTGAAATGGTGTCAGGGAGGAAGAGAGTTGTAAAATGTGGGTTTCCGGAACCAAAGTAGCACTCTTCTGTTTACACGGGGAAAAAGACAAAGCCATGTTTGCATAAATGTTTTAAGCTGTTTGTTTGGGTGTGTTAGGTGCTGATTAATACAATGTTCATCACTAAGGGGCTTACATCTACTAAATGGGGACGATAAAAGATCAGGGCTGTGTTGTTGTTGTTGTTGTTTGGGTTTATTTATAATGTCACACAACAGTCTTAAACAATAACACACTGGCACAGTTCGCCCCCACTTCCTGAGTGAACAGTTTGCTATTATCGTAGCGGTCCTGGATGTTTCTTGATTCAATTCTTGTTTATAATAGAATTAGATAAAGACACTTTTGTTGTTGAAGCATATGTTTGTGTGTTTTCTGGAGTAAAACCAGGATTAGATAAGAGAGGTCGGGGGAAGAGCTCAGCCCAGTGTGCTGGTTCCCATTCAGCGGGACGTCTGAGTGCAATTTCTTTTTTGGGTTTGTAGGAAACCAATATTGCATGTTACAAACTACCTTGACAGGCTGCTGCTGAAGGAGTTCAGACCCCCCCACCCCCTCCCCCCAACCACAATGTGTTGGTTTTGTGTCACAACATTAGAAACCCACAGTACACACAAAACTAGCATGAACTGCATAAACGCACTCATTTTGACTATATCCTCCCACATGCAGCAGTTTACACAAGCTAGAAACTATCAGGTTGGAAAGATGAACCTGAAGATATGTACTTGTTACTGGCGTATTGCATAATAGCTGATCATTTGTTTCACCACATGTAAACAGAATTGTTGCTTTCATGCACAGCGTGCGAGTACATGCATTTGCCGCCAAGCTCTTATGTTGTGCTTGGATGTTTTGAAAGATGCAGATTTCCTCTTTCTTTCATTGTTTCTGTTCTTGGTGTTGACTGATTTTATTGTTGCTGCCTGGATGCAGCCAGACATTTCAGACTAGCTAACAGGTTTGACAATACCTTCACCATCCTGACAATACAGGCAGATGTGCTTTGTGAAGGAAGGATTAAACCACAAAGCTCCGGCTTTTATCCAAATCTTAATCTTTTTTCCACTTTGTTCAGATTGCCCAACAATAACGAGTTTGACATGCGCCTTTGTGCTGTTCAAAGTTTTCTAACATGAACTGTTTTTTTTTTACAGAAATATCGAACCTTCTTGTGGTTACCAAGGAGAGAGCCCAAACCTGTCAGCCACCGAAGCATGAGAGGGAGCTCTGCATCTTCCACCGCATTCCTAAGGAGGACATAGAGCAGGTATACAATCTCCTTTGTTTATGTTTGTTTCCACTGCCATTACATACTAATGATTATATCATTATGTTGATTCTAAGTGAAGAAATGCACAATGTTAAACCATTTCCATTAAACTTCCAGTGTTCTGTTTGTCTTGGTATGGTGAATTCACACTGAACGCAAACGAGGCGAATGGAGCAAGGGGTTTACAAGGCATCCCTTTCTCAAGGCCTGTTCAATTAACGGTCAGCTATGTGAAGAAAACATTGCGAGTAATGCGAAAACAGGGAGGGGGGATGAATCCCTCACTGGGTTACAGCAGATGCTGATGCTAGTTCCTGGACAGAAGGCAATGCCTCATGTACCTGCAGCTGCTGAAGCGATGTTGGTACCGTTGTTAGCCCAAATATAACTTCACTTCTGGATGAGTTCGGGAGAGCTTTATTTTTCTTTCAACAACCAACATACAGCCAACGTCCTAACACCAGAAGAGATAGCTTATCCTGCAGAGCCCCCTAGTGGGCTGGCATGATAATTGAACATAAACAAATGACTAACAAACTCACTCTCTTCTTAAAAAAAAACAAATAAACAAAACATACATAAAGAATTGAATGCATCAAATATAGAACGTATGCATCAAAACAACACATAGCAAAGCACAGCTATTTAGCAATACTGCTAAGCCAATCTTCACTTTTTAACAACAAATTTGAACAAGCTTCTTACTACATTTATGATACGGCCCAACAGCCTTCATAAAGAGCCTTAAGTAACAAAGTTGTGGATGCTCCCTTCTTTGTCAAGCAGTCGGCGAGCTGGTCTTTAGTTTTTGACCACAAAACCTGACGAACTCTCTTAGTTTGGATCTGTTCTTTAATAGAACTGATTTCCAGGCGTAGCCTTTTCTCAGCAACAAACTTGGTTGACTTTAGCGCATCTACAAGAGAGAAGTTATCAGTGACACATGTTATAGGCAAAGAATGTGAGGTGTTACCAGCACTCAGTTCAGAAAACAGTGTGGAGACAAAAATAGCATTATCAATCCCCTCTGACATAGCCAGTGTTTCACCTGCAAGCGTGCTTCTGACAATCCTCTTAATCCTTTTTGACTGCCAAGAAATGGGAGAGAATCGACCATTGTCACCCATCAAGACAATCAGATGCCCACCCTGAGTACCTCCATCTGAAAGGTTCCCAAAAGATGCATCTGTAAACGTAACTATCTTTAAGTTACTGTTTTCGCCAAGATGCTGAAAATTCATTTCAACTGACTTGGCTTTGAGTTTACACACAACTCTGTTTGCCTCACATATGGTCTGTACTGTGGCCTGTTTGAGACTAGATGCCAAATTACTTGCATCAAACATGACATCAGGCCTGCTCTGTCTTGCAACCCACAACAGTTGGCCTATCTTTGACCTGAGCTGCTCCCTCTCCTCCTCAGTGAGAGGGGAAGCTGACTCTGCTGCTCTAGAGGGTGAGAGGTTGATAGGCTGCAGGTTTTGGATGTATGTCTGTTGATGTATCTTAACCTTGGTACCCAAAGTAACAAGGTTGACACCTACATATGAGAAGGTTTCATGAGCTTCATGACCAACATTAAACTGTGATCTAAGGTTCGGTATGACTGACTCTGAAAAAAACTGTGATCCTCCCCATATAAAATCATCAACATGACAAGCAAGGACACCCATAACATTCTTGCTCTCATCAAGCCAGTAGAAAACTGCAGGATCAACCTTAGACACAACACCTCCTGCTTCTAACATGATGCTCTTTACTCTGTTGTACCAATACAATGAAGCATCTGCTAGACCATACACACATTTTCTCAGTTTCCAAAGCACACCTGTGCTATTAGCCTCCGGAGGTGGTTTGATGAAAATGTCTCTGCATAGTTCCATTCCTTGTAGGAAAGCAGATTTAATGTCCATGGAGTGAAGTTTCCATTGTTTCTGACATATCACTGCTACTAGGAGTCTCAGTGACTCTGAGGCACAGGTAGGCGAGTCCTTTTGTAAGTCAGAAACTTGTAGTTCCTCGAATCCCCGTGCAACAAGCCTTGCCTTTGGTACTAATCCATTTTCACTTTCTTTCATAGTGCACACCCAGCGACTGGAAATGCACTTTTGACCTTTGTCCTCAACTTCTTCAAACACTTGGTTTTGTTTCCAACTTTTTATTTCATCCTCTTTTGCTGCATCCAGTGAAATATCTTTGCTCAGAAAAATATCGTCATGGGTATCCATTTTAGCAACATTAGACCGAACACAAAGGTTTTCCAGTTGTGATAAATCAACTGATTTACTGTTACCAGCCCCCTCTGTAGGCTCAAGTTGTTCCAAGTTAAACCAGTTCTTGTATTTCTCGGTTGCTTTACCAGCTCGTCCCAACACCTTTGCTGTTTGTGATACACCCTCTGCATTAGTGAATGTCACAATCTCACCAGGCTTTACGTTGATGCTGCCAGTCTGTTGTCTTTCCGTTTCCGTGTGCGGTCTTTCCATATCCACAGCGTCTCTGTCCATTTCTGCAGGCTGTGTCTCTGTGCTTGTATGTCCAAGGTTTTCTTCTGTCTCTTCTTCATTAATGTCCATTGTAGGTTGTCCTTGAATGTTGTCATCACCAGTAATCTGATGTTCTTCATTCTCATGAGTAACCTTCCTCAACCTGAGTCGGTGCACTCTGACACAGGTGCCTCCATGTCTAACAAACACCACTGCACCATCCTGCCCAATAACCACTCCTGGTCCTTTCCATTCAGGGCAGTCCACTCGTTTGTAGAACACTTTGTCTCCAAGTCTATATTGTTCATCTGTGGGTCGCAGCTGTTTCTTTAGGGCTCTGCGTATTCTCTCTGAATACTCTGCTTCTGTAAAAGCTTTTCTTGCAGCATGTAGGGCAGAGATGTGCTTGGCCACCCATTCACTTTTAGTAGTCCCTTCCAGAGCTGGGGCTTTATCTATCAACACTGAAGGTAGGTTGGGATTCTGCCCAAACACAAGTTGATGGGGGCTGTATCCATGGACGCTTTGCATACAGTTCTTTGCCATTAGAGCCCAGTCCATGGCGGTGCTCCAGTCGCACCCAGTACTTGTTTTTACTTTCAATATAATCTCAGTCAGAGTTTGATTGTGGCGTTCCAACAGCCCATTGCTCCAGGGACTGTAAGCAGGTGTTGTCTTGACTTCAATGTTAAAGTTCTCAGCCATGTCTCTGACTTCTTCATTATTAAACTCACCACCATTGTCACTGAATAGCTTTTGTGGTGGTCCATGTACACTAATCCAGTCATGAATAAGATGTTTGACGATCTCAGAAGACCCTTTGCTGGTCAAAACACTACCTGCACTGAAACGAGTAAACTGATCAATGATGTGTAAATACCACACTCCAGGCTCAAGCTCATGTAGATCTACAGCTACAGTCTCATTGTATGTCGACGCTAGTGGCAGGCCAACAGCAGGCTTAGGTTTGGTCTTGCAATATTTCTGACATACTTCACATTGGTTTATGATGTTTTGCAGGAGGCTGTTACAGTCTGTGTCTTTGTTGCCAGAATTGTTTAAAAGCCGTTTCAGCTTTTCAGCAGAAGCATGTCCAAACTGCTTATGAAGTTTCTCCAGAACTTTGGTCTTCTCACTTGGGTTCATTTTATCTGTTATAGCCAGTATTTCTTCCTCCACCAACAATTGATCAGAGTGAGTAGGACTTTTACTTTCTTTATCCACAATGTTCACACAGTAGTGTCCAGAGCTGGTGAAGTCCAATTGCATTGGCTGGTTAAACATCATTGCTCTGTCTCTTTCCATGTCCAGAACAGTTTTTGCTCTCTTTAGTGACGTTTTACTCAAAAGCAGTGGGATGTTGGCCGGAACGACTTCTGTTTCGATGTTACATCGTGTGTTGCCAATCTTGGCTGGTATCTTTATCTTTTTGATGGAGTACACTATTTTTCCATCTCCAAACTTAAATGGCCTGTGGCTTTTCATTTCTGTTTCTCTCATAGTCTTGACCCCTTTTTGCTGCAGTGTAGCTCTGTAGTTATCCAGCCATTCTTTACCACAAACTGTTCTAGTGCAAGCAGTGTCTATTATTGCTGAACCAAAACTTTCTGTCATGAATATTTCAGCATCTGTTGGTGATTCTTTGGTGTACAGAGTAATATTGCATTCTTCCACATCTGTGTTATCTTCAGTGATTTTTATACTTTCTGCTTTATGTGGACAATCTTTGGCCCAGTGATAGGTACTTTGACACACAGCACACTTAGATCGTTTTCCATACCTGTCCAATGGGTTGGTGCCGGGTTGTGGGGACTTTTGCCATGAGTTGGGCCTCCAAGTCCTGCCTTTCTGTCTTTGTTGTTCTGTTGCAAACACTGAATCCTGCTTGATGCTCTCTGCTGTTTCACTTTTTTTCTTATCACCAAATATTCTTTTTAAAGCGGATTTCATTGAAGAAAACGTCACATCTGATCATGCTGTTAAAGCCAACTGCCTGTCTGTCACATCCAAGCACGAAGTATCCAAAAGCTTAAATGCCAGAACTGCATCGGGTAACTCCATTTTGTATTTTTTCATGCGCGAATAACGCTGTTCAAAGTCAATAATAAAATCCACCATGGATGTGCTTGCGTCTTTTTTGATCCGATCAAACTCTGAGTATGCTTCATATATCATGTCCTTTTCCTCTTTAAGGAACAAATTATCTAATTTATCCAACAACGTGACCATTCTAGTGTCTTTATTTAAATCATCTACCGGAATTTCCATAGCGGTGTCTCGCGCCCTCCCGGATAGCGCCAGAGCAACGGCGAGAGCTTGTTTCTTTTTTTCCAAGTCCGTAACTCTCGTCCACATATTGGCTTCATTCTTCCAGCTTTCATAAGACTTTCCTTCTTCAAATGTTGGCGGAACTCTGTAGTTACTAACCATCCTCTGCTACCACTGTTAGCCCAAATATAACTTCACTTCTGGATGAGTTCGGGAGAGCTTTATTTTTCTTTCAACAACCAACATACAGCCAACGTCCTAACACCAGAAGAGATAGCTTATCCTGCAGAGCCCCCTAGTGGGCTGGCATGATAATTGAACATAAACAAATGACTAACACCGTGACTCTCTCTGCCAATGGGGGTCAAGCATAGCATTAGCATTAATGCGTCATCCGCCGCCGTCGGAAACGGGGGAAGAAAAAAAAATACGGCAGAGCGAGCCAGCGCTGTAGGCGCAGTGTTGCCAACTCAGCGACTTTGTCGCTATATTTAGCGACTTTTCAGACCCCTCCAGCGACTATTGTTCAAAAAGGCGACTAGCGACAAATCTGGCAACTTTTTACGGTGTCACTGGCGGCTTTTGGAGACTCTTACATGAAAGCATGTATCGCTCCCACTCTTGTCCTCCAGCGGCAGCTGCTGCCGTGGGGCGCCTCCCCCATCCCAACCCCGTTCTCCCGCTCCAACAGGAGTCCCTCTCAGCACTGCAGTCAGAGCAGGATGTTTACTCTCAGCGTCCAGACTGCAAATGAAGCGCGCATGTGCCGGGATTGACGGCGCAAATTGATCACAACAATTAAAATAGCCTGCGCTTTGTAAAGTGAAAAAAGTCGTAACATGCAACTTTTGTCAAAACAAATGGCACGGAAGCACCACTGTTATGATGCAGCACCTGAAAAGAAAACATGTTGGAGCCTTCGATGGCAGTGAAGAGAGCTGATCAGCAGGATGAGTAACCATGTTTGTTTCGTTTTAAAGTGGGGAAACGTATCATTAGTTTCTCAAGTAGCTCATCTGATGCTTTCCTTACCTTGTTAGTAGGTTACAGACAGTGATAAGGTTGGCTACTTATTTTACTTTTAATTTCATTTGAATTAGCCTAAGCAGCATTTATATTTTCTTTATAAATAATTTAACTTGCAAATTATGAGGGCAAGGCGTTTAAAGTTTAAATCTTCTGGCAAAGATAAAGTAAAGAAGATCCTGCAATTTATGGAAGTAAAGCAGAATAAAATCCAGCAAGATCAGTAATATGTCAATTAATTATATGCTACATTCCCATATAAATATCTGTCTTTGGAGGATGTGTTTTTTAGCACCCCTAGTTCTCTCATTTTTATTCCAAATACAATTTATAATTTGAATCACAGGGCTATTTTTATCTCTTTGGTTCAGTATTTTCTCAAGTAGCAACTTTAACTTCTATACTTTCCTGTCTTAAAAGGCAGAACTCTTCTAGTCTAAAAAAAACTCATTTGTTGATATGGGGGGGCCTATTGTTTGAACCCCTTAGGGGCTTTTAAAAACAAAAATGCCTGTCTTTTTTTTGCGCTTTATGAAACAAAGTACCCTATATTTTGTGGATGTACAGTTACATTTCTCATGTAAGTTTGCGTAGTTTTAACACAAACATTTATTTTTCATATTGCACCAGTACAGTTAATGAGCAACCTGTACTTGTGTGCTTGTTTGTTCTGTCTAAAATGTTTATTTTGGAATAAAGAGGTTAATATAAAAAAAAATTTTTTGTCCGATTCATCGATTAATCGAAAAAATAATCGGCCGATTCATCGATTTTTAAAATAATCGTTAGTTGCAGCCCTACTGCAAAGTGGATGAATGCTCCTCTTATCTAATGAAACAATGAAGACTGTTGGGTGCAATTTTGCAGCGTTGTTCTCCTAGTGAGAGGAGAGAGGAAAAATTAAAAAAAATAATTGATGTGAGTGCACCTTAAGTGTCTTACATATGTAGTGATTCCTGTTGTGATGAGAACTTTTTTTCTTATGTTGAGATTTTTATGACAATCCAACAAATCTTAGAATGCAGTTGTAAAGGTTCTCTTATTGATTAGAGATAACTGATTAATAAGCTGTCAAAGTCCATTTTCTGATTTTACTGGAGATAATAAGCTGGATTTATATCTGTAATTTGATCTGGGCATTATAAAGTGTTCATATCTTTTCGTTGTTCTACCTGAACGTTTTGGGTCTTTTCTACAAGGGGAACCCCCGCCCCAGTCCTTTTGTTTTCTTTAAATGGTTTTTCTCTTGAATGACTGGGTGTTTAGCTCCATCCACCTCTCTAATCTGTTTCAAGGCTACATTCACACTTCAGTTCTTGATGCTCCATTCCGATATTTCTTTGAAATTCCTAAACATTTTTGCATAGTGGTTCCTGTGGCTAAGTAAATGTGACCCCATCCAGTTTCTGTCTGAACGTTCCACAACCCCAAAGCTCCCAGGATGCCCTGGAGAATGTAGACATCACACAGCATTAAACTGTGGAAGTAATAATGGATGTGACTGTAACTAAGAAGGCTCAATAAAGATTTATAAAAAGAAGAGAAAAAAAAAACTTAACAGTTGTTTAGGGTTACATTCTTATTAAACTTTTTAACAGTGGAAGCTGGTTACGTGATAATCACTGACAAGGCAGAAACACCATTTTGTAAAAAAAAAAGCTCACTGCTGAAGAAAAATCACCCAAAGCTTCTGCTTTAGCTTCTCCTCCTTAAGCTGTATGCAGACAGAAGAAGTCCAGTCATGTGAGGACTTCAGCAGCACACATTCAGACATATTGATGTGCTTGTAAAGTTTAGTACCATTCAGGTGTTTCTCTAATAGAAAATCCCTTTATTGTCCCACAATGGGGAAATTCAGGTCGAGGATGAGCCTAAATCTGGGGAGACCAAATTTGACCTCATCCTCTTCTTGTTTTGCTTTGCCCCTAACCTGGTTTGTGATAAATGCCAAATCCAGCCATTGATGTCCTCTTTCTTCAAGTGCCTTTCTTCTTCCCTTTCTTTTATAAACGTCCGATTTGTAGAAATTAGTGTATGCAGCTTCATTCTGAACCCTGAACTTTCTGGGCTCTGTGTTGTATTAACCAGGAGGAGCACCTCGGCGTTGGAACAAAAACCAACATATACCTGGGCACACTGAGAGTCAAGAACGAGGAAGATGAAGATGCAGGCTACACGTCTTTTCAGGAAGTCAAGGTGGTCCTGAAGGTGCTCGGTTCTGGACACAGGGATATCTCTTTGGTGAGACTCATTTTCATAAGTTGCTTGTTGGGATCCAATCCGGAATTCAAACACTCAAACAGTTCTACCATTTGCATCCTGCTGTGTTGGTATTGAGATGTTTTTGTGTCTCTGATGACAGGCCTTCTTCGAAACGGCCAACATGATGCGACAGGTGTCTCATAAACACATCGCACTGCTCTACGGAGTGTGTGTCCGTCATCAGGAGAGTAAGTACTGTTGAAGTGTCAGATTGAGTTTGTAATGCAATGTTTTCCCTTAACATGCCCTTTTCTCTCTTAAGACATTATGGTTGAAGAGTATGTCCAGCAAGGACCACTGGATGTGTTTATAAGGAGACAGCAGAGTCCACTGAGCACAAGATGGAAGTTCCAGGTGGCCAAACAGTTGGCCTCAGCTCTTAGCTACTTGGTGAGTAGTAGTAGTTTAATTTGATAAAAATATTTTATTTTGCAGAGTTTAGGCTCTAGTGCTAAAAAAAACAAATTTATTTAAATTTTGGATTTTGAGAGCAGCTTCCTGGGTGAGGTATTCTAAGGAAAACATATCTAACCCAAATTAATAATTAAAATACAAGTTATAAGCTTCATTAAAATTTGAAACTGAAGTTGATTTATTGGTACCAAAGATTTAGTTCTGAGATTAAAACCGAGATTCGCTGTAAAAAAAAACAAAAAAAAAAAACGGGTTTTCTGGCTGTTGCTGTTTGCTAAAGGAAGGCATGTGTTGAAGTGTGAAATTTTAAAAATGAGAATCCAGATTATACTAAAGTTTTAGCCTCGACTGAACAGAAACTTGACTTTTAAAACAAAATGCCAGAACAGAAATGGATTTTAAAATGTCATAAAGTTGTATAATAATGTACTGTAGGACTGCATAAAATGTTTTTATTGTTATTTGCATTTTAGGAAGACAAAAAGCTGGTCCATGGCTTTGTCTGTGCTAAGAACATTTTACTGGCCAGAGATGGACTGGATGAAGAGGAGGGAGAGCCCTTCATCAAGCTCAGCGACCCAGGAATACCAATAACAGTGCTCTCCAGGGAGGGTGGGTACAAAGCTAACTTCATTTCACTGTTGTTACAAATCAAAACATACCATAGCCGCTATGGAGCTTTTCACTCCAGCTTCCATTTTGTCATCAAGGAATGAAAGTAAAAGTAGATAAAAAAAAAAAAAGAAAAATTCTGGCATCTTTAAATTATTTTAATGCCAACTAAAACAACAAAGGTGCTGCAATTTTAAAACTGAGTGGGTTAAACTCATCCAACCACAACAGATAGCCTGGTAAAATAAACTCAGCCTCTCACTGTTAGACTTTCTAAAAATGATCAGGAGTTTTTAAAGTTACCCAAAAAAAGCACCTTTTTCGATGGAGGATGTCTGATCAGCCAGTTGGTAGTCACATTTTCCATCCCTTCTTTAGATATTATATTGAGTGGATTTGGTTTGTTTAATCTGTAAGAGTTCAGAGAAGTCAAACTAAGAAGGCCACATCTAAAATTGCACAGTTCCCCTCATGCAGCAGCTTCAGGTTTCTGTTTGTCTATTAGAGCCAAAAAAATGTTTGATACAGGCTGCAGTGGCCGAGCAGATGAATCCCACAAACCACGGGACAAACTGGAAGTGTTTTAGTATAACTGCGCCTCTACACAGACCTATGGGAATACCCCTCCTGCACTCGCTGTTCTCAGAAATCTTTAGTCTCTTCCATTCCTCTGTGTATCACTTTGCTTGATCAGCTGGTCTTCCCGTTACACATCGATGTCCTTGTACATAGATTTAATTGAACTTGATGCATAATGTGTTTAGAGGCTCTTTGGGAGAACTATCCCTCACTTCAATATAATCTGATTGCTTTCCTCTGGCTCTTAAAATGTTTTCTTCTTTCCCTATTTACCATTTTTTTGCCACGGCACTGAAGTCCTGCCTGGTGCATCTCTTTTCAGCTCATGCTTTTCTTTTTTTCCTCCATCTGTTCTTTAGCTACTTATTAATATTCGTCATCCTATGTAACTTATGGATTTGTGAAGCGAAGGTGCAAGCCATGAACTTCAGCTCAGTGGATCCTTTTACCAGTAATAGTGAAATATTTCAGCCAGGCGACGCAAAGTCAACTGTTGGCTTCCCACACAGTATTTCCTTCTTGTTTCTGGTATCTCGGCATTAGGAGAATGTATTGCTTCACATCCAGTATTACAGTGGAAAGTGTTTCTTTAGTCTATTTCAAATTATTCCACTGGCAGCTGATTTCTTTAATGGAAAGCTATGTTAACTTTTAAGTATAACTGTATATCATCTGTTTTTTAAATTTTCTTATTTTAAAGAGCCAAACTTAAAAATATACAGTCCTTAGGGCTTTCATTGTTTGGAGACAAAAGTTTTAGCAGATTTTTTATGACAAACTCTTTAAGGAATTTGAGATCTAGGTGCATGAGAATCTATGAGCGACTCGCTGTGTCAAGAACATTAGAGCTGCAGGTATCAGTTATTTTGGTAATCAATTAATCCTAACTCTTTTTTTCATATAATCTGAAAAATATCATTGCTAAATAAACATTTAGAATAAAAATATACTTTTTATTTTGCACTTTTCAAATGAATTTGAAAAAATATAAAAAATACCTACATATACATGCATAAATAGACTTTATCTTAGGTTGGAAATTAAATTTTGAGTTCACTTTTAAGTTTTGGCATGTTTTAGAGTCTATGCACCAGTATTTACGATTCAAATTACCAAATGAGTTGACACTTATTTCCAGAATTCCCCCATTGTGAGACAATAAAGGGATTTTTTAAAAATTCTATTTCAGTATTCATTTGAAATGATGTAATTGCATCTATAGAGGAGATATAGACCAAAGAACATTGAGTTATCTGAAGCTGAATAAAGCTGAATAGTAATATACATATTTAGGTATATTTCTCTGTTTTAGAAAGTAAAGCTTTATTTGAAATGCTACCTTTATAACACACGGCTGTAGATAAAAATGTGTAAAATCTGAAAAATAACCTACTGGTTTATGTGAACGTATTATTATAACGCAAAATAAACCATCTTAGATATGAACAAAGTTGTATCTCTTTTGAAACAATCTCTATATTTCAGTTGTCATTATGTGGCCTAGACCATCTTAGTGCTAATACAAGTATTGGCAGTTAAAGTCAATATTATAACCTCTGCCCATTTGGACCTTTATCAAGTCTTGTAAACTGGAAATATATCAATGTTCCCTAAATTGTTGCCTTGGGGGCTTTATAGAATTGGTATAGTAGATGAGACGGCTTTCTAAGTTATCTCTCAGTGTAGAAACTTCTGTTGACCTCAAGCCACTCAGATTCTGTGCCGCACCTTTCATCTTTCACACTCTGGGATCCTTCATTTACAATCTATTTTCTAGTTCTGGTTCTTCTTTAAATACTTCCTTTATAGTCTTTAGAGTGGCTTATTACAAGAGGTGTGATAGTTATAGTCCTCGATCTGTTTGTGGGGGGAAAGAGGAAGTGATGAAACTGATCTCCACACCTTATTAATCTCCTATAAACTCATGAGGCTGCACTTTTCACTGTTTCCTTTGCACCCTTTTAGCACAACTTTTCCTCCCCATCATTGCCTTATGTACCTGAATACAGTGATCTGTGAAGTTTTCATTTTTTGGCCGTGATTATCAACATTTCACCAATTTAAATATAACTAACTTTCTGTCTGTAGAATGTGTGCATCGCATCCCATGGATCGCCCCTGAATGCGTGAAGAGCACATCAGCCCTGAGTGTGGCTGCTGACAAGTGGGGATTTGGAACCACCCTGTGGGAGATCTGTTATGATGGAGAGGTTCCACTCAAAGAGAAGAAACTAACAGAGGTAAAGAAACAAAAACAGAATAACTGCAAAGCATAAGTGTCCCAGTTCTTCCAAGTCAGTTTCTCACCTTTCTTGCATACAGACGATCATGTTTTTCTTGTCCTTTTTCGTACTCTTTGCTGTGAGCAGAAGGAGAGGTTCTACGAAGCAGAATTCCAGCTCGCCACCCCTGATTACAAGGAGCTTGCTGAACTCATGACCCGCTGCATGAACTATGACCCCAAGAAGAGACCCTTCTTCAGGGCTATTGTCAGAGACTTGGATGAACTAGAGGAAAAAAGTATGTCTAATAACATTTTTGGGTTTCACCATTGATATTTAAGCTTTTTCTCACAAAAGTGAGTGAAATCCTCACACTGTTGTTGATTTTGTGTTTTGTATGCGAAACAACACTAAAGATGTGACACTGAAAAACTAAAGTATCCGGCGTACAGCTCGTATAATGGTCTCAGTTTGCTGTCTTCTTGGAAAGTAGACAAACTCAACACACCCATTAATGTCCAAAAACCGTTTAGTCAGCCAACCTCCCTGCTGTCATGTGGCTCGTTAGTGTGGCTGAGGAGCAAGTGTTTTAGATTTGCTGTTATTGCTCACACTTTCTCATCCTTTCTTGTTGCGCTAGGTTGAAATGGGGCGGGGCTTCATCCTTTTAGTGCTCAGACCATACGCCACGTACTGTGGTAAATTAATGAGTATGGATTTCATCTGAGGGGAAGGCCTCGCCTAAAGATGACTGATGAAACGTAGACAAACCCATTTGGTTCAGATGGTGTCGACTGTGCGGCAAACATCTTAACTACAGTCAGTTTAGTTGACAGTGGGGGTGTTATGGTTAAGGGCAGCTTTGGGGAGCTCTAGTTCCCTGAAGGAGACATGATTAGCAGCATGTATTACGATTTACTAAAGCAAAGACTGATCCCCTGCCATCAGAAGCTGTGCCACTGGCACTTATGATGATGACTCCAAACGCATCCCGTAGACTACTGCTGTGCTAAAGAGACTGAGGGTGAAGAGGCTGGACTGGCCAAGCCATGTCTTCAGACCTACATCCCATTAAAGTTACGTAGTCTGTTATACGCCTGTACCAAAAAGACCAAAATCCATTTGATTATGATCAAATAAAGCTATATACTCCCAGTGTCTGCCCTGATAGTGGTTAAGTCGTCATTTTTGAGCCCAAATAGAACCCCAGTACTGGGCACCATGAGCTGACTTAAACAATCTGAGCTACCAGTAAGCCAAATGACCATTCCTCACACTGTAATGCCTTGCAGAAAACCCACCGCTCAGAGATTTGGGCTTAAAAGCATTGCTTTCACCAGTAGCACTGTTTGTAAGGACATGTAGCCGTCTGTTTATCGGATTCACTGCGACATCACAATGCTTCCTTTTGCTTTAGCTTGCTCCAACAGTCAGACTGTTTCCCCCCAGCAAAACTCTACTTTTATCCCTTTTGGAATCAAACATCATCTTGTACCTTTTTACTCTTAATCTTTGACTTTTCTTTGCTTTGCTGGGAGTTCCTCACTCACTCGCCTCCATTTCTTAGGTTTGTTGACCAGCTGTAGGCATCTGCAGTGACATGATCCTGCTCACATGATATTATAGTAAATGTACACAGAAAGGCCATATTTACTAACAAACTGAGCAAATCAAAGCTTAAAACAAGTAAAACTATCAGGACGTCATCATTCGTCATAAAAAAATTAGATACAAACAGAGTGAGTTAATGCATATACATTTTTAAAAAGTCAAATAATGTAACTGCACTTTAAAGCATCATGTTTAGATAAAAGCAAGAAGCTCAGGTTACTAATATCCTTCAGCTCCTTAATAAGAACATCCAAATAATATTTCTGGTAAGCTTTATGCTGAAGAGAGTTAAGAGGGTTGAGGAAACGATGATGGCCACAGAAATTATTGACTCTTGTATGTTCTCATTATTTGTTCCTTAAGTTTAGATGCAAACGCTGTATGAGTGACTTTTACGACACAGAAACTGTCCAATTATGGAAGCTGTACACTGACTACTTTACATTATGTCAAGATGTCATATCGTCAGTGTTTTCCCATGATGGATATAATAAAGTTAGGGGTTTAACTTTTTCAATGTGTATTTATACAGTTTACATACAGTGGCTGTTATATTGTGTCCAGTTCTGCTCTTTTTTCCAAACATCAGCAAAAGTTAAAGAGGACTGCAGAATTAAATCATAAAAATAGCCGTGAAAAGCTGAGGATCCAGACGACATATTTGCGGTGTTCTTAACCTATGAGATACAAGCTGAATGTGATGCGTGGTTTGTTTCTCACGCAGCAGTACTTCATTTAGAGAGGGTTGTTTACTTGCTCAGATGTTCAGTAGGAAGTTCACTGGGTGCACTACTAGTGATCTTCCCCCTCTTAGGGCCCCACTGAGAACCTGGTCAACTCGTTCCTCCACCTAGTGGCCACTTTTGGATGCTGCAATCTCTTTGTAAGCAAACAACTTCACAGGGATCACATTTCAAAACTTCCACAGAACCATCCATCTCTTTACCCGAGCTGAATGATGGGAAGGTCTGAAAAGCCTTTTTAGACACTTGGTATAAAATGCCAAGGTTTCGCTTTACTAAGGTAGCTGTCAATTACATGGAAGTGCAGACAAACGGTTGCATAACCACAAACATTTCTAGAGAATAACCTGACGCTGTCGACCACAGTAGACTGACTATGATGAAGCTATGTATATGTCGTAAAAGCTATTTACCAAATGGTTGTTATAGGTTACTTACACACAGATGGATGTTTTTGAGCCTTTTTTTTCTCTAAAAAATTTGTCTTACAGGAGCGATAAGTGATGATTGATTATTTAAGAAAGAAGTCAAAATTGGTGATGGGCGTACAGTAGAAGCAAGCAACCAAAGCCCCTTTCACACCTACAACCTGACCTAGTAATATACAGAGTCAGGGTTGTGTCTGAATAAAGTCAGAACGGATTTATTGACCCAAGAAGGTTTATGTCATGCAGTGACAAGTGGCTTGATTTCAGGCTGAAACAATTAATTGGATTAATCCATTAGTGAAATATTCGTCAACTAATTAACTGGAGTATAGAGATTGTAAAACATGCCTTTAGCTGACAGAATAATTACTGCTCTAAGTGGGTCGCTCTAAGATTGTAAAAAAATTTTTAAAAAAAGTCATCTGTCAATGTGCTTTATCCAGAACAGAGTTTCACCTGGTTTAATTTCATTAAGTCTTTAAATAACCATTGGCTATCCGATTGTTTATCGATTTATCAAAAAACAAAAAACAAATCGACAGATTAATGAACTTGCTAAATAATTGTTTGTTGCAGCCCTAGATTAATTACACAAACTTAGAAAGGCCCAGTTGTAATTTCAAAATTTGTGTAAATGGATTAATGTAAGATTAATGTTCTCTCCCTTTTGGTCATTTCTTGAAATGCACTGAAATGATTTTTCTTCAGTAATTTCATAATTCTTCCAATAACTGTTCAGAATTGGTTGGTTCTTACAGCCATAATTTCCAGCTGAAACTCTTCTGTAGAGGTTAGCTTGACCAGTTAAAGCCGCTCCCTTTCATTACTGCAGGTGATATTAAAAATGATCTGACCTGTAAGAAACACAGTAAAACCTCTTCAATCCAGGAATGTGGTCCCGGTAAATTAGTGAGACTTTGGTGTAGAAGGGGCTACAGATTCCCTTTGCAGAAGAGCTCATACTGCCACCACCGTGTAAATACATTGTTGAATAAGCAGTCTGCTGTCATTAGCTGCAAGCATTCACTGTTTAAGGCTTATGGGGCACATTTTGACATAATTACTTGTTTATTTGCAAACAGTGTAGAAGATTTTCCAAAAGATGCTTTCTTGCTAACAGCATTATAAAGTTCCGAGTCACTTCATTCCTAAACGTGAAAGGTGACACTGTTTGGCTAATTATTTATCTTTTGCAAAAAAAAAAAAAAAAAAGTAGGATGGCCTGGCTTTTCACATCTTGTTTTGGTTTACAGACAGTGTTCAACAGCCCCACCTAGTGGTTCAAGTTTTTTTGTTGCTCTTTTAATAAAGAGTGTGTTTAGGACCTGCTTAAAGCTTATTTTTGTTAAACGGAAGTTTTATATTTCTGTTTCTCAGATCCATCCATCAAACCACATCCTGCCGTAGAAGTGGACCCGACCGTGTTTGAAAACAGATTCCTGAGGAGGATCAGAGATCTTGGAGAGGTAAACGAATGCTGGTCTCTGTTCTGTTGCTGTTGTGATTGGTTTCTTAAAGAAAACAAAGCCACAACCCTTTACAAAGCTAATCAGAACCCTTTTACCATCTGACTAATGCTGTTGTATTTTAATTTTCTGCTTTTAAAAGCCAGACACCGATGAGAACAATTGAGTTTTTCCACTCAAAAAGCTCAACAAATACTGGAAGAATAAGTTTAAACCTGTCCACATGCCTTCTAAAAAAGTTTGTATACGTTTTTTACGCAGGGTCACTTTGGTAAAGTGGAGCTGTGTCGCTATGACCCTCGGGGAGACAGAACAGGTGAACTGGTGGCTGTAAAGTCACTGAAGCCTGAGAACGGTGAGGAGCAGAGCAGCAACCTCCTCAAGGAGATTGAAATCCTGAAGGCACTTTACCATGACAACATCGTCAAATACAAGGGCATCAGTGAAGAAGAAGGTACAGCAGAACGCTGCCACATATATGCTTACAGAAATGAACATGTCCATAAATGACCAATATACAACACACTCCAGGTAGCAGAAACAGCTTGTGTCACTGCTCGCTATAGAAGCATCTTTTTTCATAGCGAGGCTTGGATAATGTCAGAATAAACACTGAACATTTGGAAATAACTCTTAATACAGCCTTACATGAAATTATACCCTGGAAACAATATTTGATGTTTAGAAAATGTTAAAAATCTCTCACCTAGTCATATTTATTTAAAAGATAAATAATGACAAACTATCAAATTGTGTCTTATGTTTCATATTACTGAATAATTTCAACTTGTAGGTGAGCGATGCATGTGTGATGAGTTTGGTTCGAATCCTATTGTATGAAATGAGAGGCAGGTAGCTGATGGGACAACACAGTGACTGTTTTCATTTACAGGTGGGAAGGCTATAAAGCTGATCATGGAGTATCTTCCATTGGGCAGTTTAAAGGATTATCTTCCCAGGAACAAGAGCAAGACCAGCCTTAACGATCTGCTCAGCTACTCTATCCAGATATGTCGGGTAATTACAGTCACTGCTCCAGGAACCTTTGTGCTGTCCTTTCTTCTGGATGATATGATTGTTTTTTTTAATTTCCACTTCCTTTTAGGGAATGGATTATTTGGGATCCCGAAATTACATACACCGCGATCTGGCTGCACGAAACGTGCTGGTGGAGAAAGAGGGCTCGGTGAAGATTGGCGACTTCGGCCTCACCAAGAGCCTCAAGGAAAATGATGGATATTACAAAGTCAACGACGACCATGACAGCCCTGTTTTCTGGTGAGTAAAGGAAGACAGCGGGACTGAGATTATTAGGAAAAGGTCTAATATTCCCTTTAGCTGTGCTTTAACTGTCAGCTGATGTAAGAAACTTTTAAAATGGGTCAGTTTTCCTTTTTAACACCATTTTTGTGTGTCAGGTATGCACTGGAGTGCCTGACTGACAGCAAGTTTTACCTGGCTTCAGACGTCTGGTCCTTTGGAGTGACCATGTATGAGATCATCACCTACTGCGAATCCTCCAAGAGTCCGATGACGGTTCGTCTTCCCTCCTCTTTAGTCAGATCATTTTGTATTAAAACACATCTTCAGCTAACAGTGACAGAGACTTTTCTTTAGTTGGCCACAGACTTTGGAATACTTTGCTCCTCCATATATGAACAGCCTCCACAGTGGAGTGTTTAAAGTCTCGTCTTAAGACCCATTTTTACTCTTTGGGCACTGCTGCCACTTTCTGGGGCGACAGTGACGTCGAATGCAGGAGTTTGCCCTGCAATCGGAGGGTTGTTGGTTTAAGCTACGGCTTTCAGTGTCACCGTGTCCGTGGGCAAGACACTTAACCTGCATTGCCTACTGATGGTGGTGAGAGGGCCTGATGAAGAAGAGCAGTATATAAGTACAGCGCTGTTTCCTTTTTATTTATTTATTAATTTTAAGTTCTTAAAGGTATTGTGGAAAATTTGCGCACATTTTTGAAAAGAGCCGCCCTCTCCTTTGTCCATTTCTCCTCATGGATGTTCTGTTTGAAAGTTATTTACATCACTCACACAAATTTACTTTCCAAAAGAAGATTTGCAGATTTGCAGTGTCTTCTGCCGAGAATTACTTCCCCTCTCGCACACTGATGAGAAAATGATTGACATATGAATGAAAAAGGAACCTTAGAATATATTCTAAATGTTTATCAGAAATGATATAGAATGGTGTTGATAATCAAAGCGGAAAATGCCATCCACTCAGCAGAGAATACAGGTGCTGGTCATAAAATTAGAATATCATGAAAAAGTAGATTGATTTCAGTAATTCCATTTAAAAAGTGAAACTTGTATATTATATTCATACATTACATACAAACTCATATATTTCAGATGTTTATTTTGTTTAATTTTGATGATTACAAATGACAACAAATGAAAATCTCAAATTCATCATATCAGAAAATTAGAATATTACTGAAGACCAATAAAAAAAAAGGATTTATAGAAATGTTGGCCAACTGAAAAGTATGAACATGAAAAGTATGAGCATGTACAGCACTCAGTATTTAGTTGGGCCTCCTTTGGCCTGTATTACTGCAGCAATGCGGCGTGGCATGGAGTCGATCAGTCTGTGGCACTGCTCAGGTGTTATGATAGCCCAGGTTGCTCTAATAGTGGCTTTTAGCTCTTCTGAATTGTTGGGTCTGGTGTATTGCATCTTCTTCTTCACAATACCCCATAGATTTTCTATGGGGTTAAGGTCAGGAGAGTTTGCTGGCCAATTAAGAACAGGGATACCATGGTCCTTCAACCAGGTACTGGTAGCTTTGGCACTGTGTGCAGGTGCCAAGTCCTGTTGGAAAATGAAATCTGCATCTCCAAAAAGTTGGTCAGCTGCAGGAAGCATGAAGTGCTCTAAAACTTCCTGGTATGTGGCTGCGTTGACCCTGGACCTCAGAAAACACAATGGACCAACACCAGCAGATGACATGGCACCCCAAACCATCACTGACTGTGGAAACTTTACACTGGACTTCAAGCAACGTGGATGAAGTGCCTCTCTTCTTTTCCTCCAGACTCTGGGACCTTGATTTCCAAAGGAAATGCAAAATTTACTTTCATCAGAGAACATGACTTTGGACCACTCACCAGCAGTCCAGTCCTGTTTCTCTTTAGCCCAGGCAAGACGCTTCTGACGCTGTCTGTGGTTCAAGAGTGGCTTGACACAAGGAATGCGACAGCAGAAACCCATGTCTTTCATACGTCTGTGTGTGGTGGTTCTTGAAGCACTCACTCCAGCTGCAGTCCACTCTTTGTGAATCTCCCCCACATTTTTGAATGGGTTTTGTTTCACAATCCTCTCCAGGGTGCGGTTATCTCTCTTGCTTGTACACTTTTTTCGACCACATCTTTTCCTTCCCTTCGCCTCTCTATTAATGTGCTTGGACACTGAGCTCTGTGAACAGCCAGCCTCTTTAGCGATGATCTTTTGTGTCTTGCCCTCCTTGTGCAAGGTGTCGATGGTCGTCTTTTGGACAACTGTCAAGTCAGCAGTCTTCTCCATGATTGTGTAGCCTATAGAACTAGACTGAAAGACCATTTAAAGGCTTTTGCAGGTGGTTTGAGTTAATTAGCTGATTAGAGTGTGGCACCAGGGGCCATCAATTTTCAACCTTTTCACAATATTCTAATTTTCTGATATGATGAATTTGAGATTTTCATTTGTTGTCATTTGTAATCATCAAAATTAAACAAAATAAACATCTGAAATATATGAGTTTGTATGTAATGTATGAATATAATATATAAGTTTCACTTTTTAAATGGAATTACTGAAATCAATCAACTTTTTCATGATATTCTAATTTTATGACCAGCACCTGTATATTCATCGGACACCAACTGTATCAGATCGACTTAAACGTGTTCATAGTAAAAATCGTATTCATTCGAATGTATCTGTTCATCAAAACTCTCAATTTAAGCGCATCCACGCATAAGAAATAGGAAATTATTAAGAAAATGTTTCAAAGTTCCCTTTAGTTCCTATTTCAATCAGTTTTGTCATCAGTGTGCGAGAGGGGAGGTATTTCTCGGCATAGGGTCAGGTGAAAATGGGGACGAGCACGTAGGAAGGCGTTACATCAACATATCACAGGAATGATTGGCAATTAGGAGGACCACTTATTTGATGATCCACCCAGAAAAAGAACATCATCCACTTTACCTTTAACTGATTTTTTTGTTTTTTGTACAGCACATTGGAAACATGTTTTGTTGTTAAATGTGCTATATAAATAAAGTGGATTGATTGGACATGAATGTTAAACTAACAGTGTTAGTTAGTGGTGCAGGATGAATGTTTGATTTGGCAGCAACTAGGAGATAATGACCCTTTTATTAATAAATATAGCTCATTAGCTTTTCCTGATTTTACTGTCAAGTTTTACCACTAAACACTCAAATGTTTGAACCATTTACTGTACATTCAGTTCCACAGTCCTAAGGGTTGTGCTCTGAAGTAGGAGCCTAAGGAAGCCTAAATAAAAAGGCACCATTAATTCAAAAAAATTAAAGTCTACTTGATTATTTTTTTAACTTCACAGCGCTTCATGTATATGATCGGGCGAACTCATGGGCAGATGACCATCCTCCGCTTGGTGAACATTTTGAAGGAGGGAAAGAGACTTCCTCGTCCTGAATCCTGCCCTGAGCCTGTAAGGATCCTCATTTATTATTTTAGAGAAGCTACAGAAAGAGCATCAGTTTGAAATGGACCATTTTGATGTTCCAGGTGTACGAGCTGATGCGAAAGTGCTGGGAGGCGGCTCCGGACAAGAGAATCACCTTCAAGCGTCTGATCGAGGAGCTGACCATCCTGCAGCAGTTCTTTCAGCAGAAGAACAGCCTGTAAGTCTCCTGCTGCCAAAGGCGCTGGGGGGTGAAGTTTCAGCAGCCGGCGTGGGACCAGGAGGAGGCCCCCCCCCCACCCCAAGTTGGTCTCAGACCAGCAGCTGCATGTTCATTTTCAGCAAAGAGAAAATATAACCGGCTCCTCCATCATACTCGCATATAAACCTTCCACCTGGTGGCAAATCCGGCCAAACCCTCACTGTAGATTCCTTTCATTATAAACCTGATATCTCTTCTTGTGATGAACATTTATGATATATTGAATTTGACTTATATTCCACATAGAATTGTTGCTTTTTGACGAAATCTGAAACTTGTGAGATGTAGCGGAGCTGTGAGAGTCATAAGGAGCAGTGTCTGACTGCATAAAAGAATGCTTTCTGTTTTCTTTTTACGGTTTGTGCTGCAGCTGCATCATGTTAACGAAAGTTATCACCCTACCTGTGATGTGGACTTCTGCTGCTGCTCGTTCAAGGACTTCTTTTTGAGAGAGAAATGGCACGATCATGGTGTTTTTATCGGTTTACAGAGAATTGATGTTCCAGATGTGCTAATGCAGCTGAAAGGGGGATTTAATATGAGCCAGTGATAAATCTGTTGTAGGATATCCAGCTTAAGCAGAAGAATCAGCTGCCTAATCAGGATTTCCTTTGGAAAACATAAATCAGAAGGCTTTGAAGTTCATTCATCTTGGTTATTGAAAATGTTTATCGTCTAACTTTATGGAAGACGCAAAGAAATCATCCTTCGCATCAAATGTTTAAACTGCGTTTGCACATGAGGTAGTTCTTTCTGTTTATTGTGCACTTGATAAATGGTCCCAACTTGCAGGAAGTTTTTAGGAAAAGTGTTTCTAAGAGAGACACTTGGTGGCGGCAAAGCTTCAGTTTTCCTTGGAGCTTTGCAATCTGCACGTTCAGGTCTGTCAGACTGTTATGCCTGTAAATGTTAGCCTGATGCAGAGCCACAGCTACAGATGTCAACAGGACATGGATGGCCTGGATTTGTCCAGAGCGCCCAGACGTCTTGCATACCTTAAAAAAAAAAAACAACAGTTATGTATGTAACATGTAATGTTTAAGCATTTAATTTTTATTTTTTACTCTTACAATATTTCAGAATTATATAAAGTATTTTATCCACATATGTGAAATTGCTTGGAGCTGAAGGGACTTTTTCTGCTCTTGAATCCCCCCATGGGTTAGTCTGACATGGAGACACACGTTAAGGATCACACACAGTGACATTGCGCTTTAATCCTCATTTTATTTAGGAATGTAAAAGGCAAATCCTTCTGCTCTAAGAAACAAAAAAAAAAAAAAGTATAATTTTTCCAAAAAAACACATAAATACACAATGAAAAAATGTCTGAGGTGTTTTTCTTTATTCTACTGAAAATGGGTTTTATATAATAGTACAGCAGTGTAACGTCATGCCAGCTCTGCTCTAGAAATACCTTAACAGTAAAACAATGTCATAGAAAATTTCTCAAACTACAGTTGGCAATAAAAAAAGAAAAAACACTCTTGAAAAGCAACATTTGTGTTTGGACCAGTAAAGAGCCAACCAAACCTATTTACAACCATGTTATGGTCAGAAAAAAAAAAGAATTAAATATTGCAAAGCTGTGATCGACACACATTGATTGCAGAGTGCAGCCTCACTACTGACCAGTGGCTCGTTTGCAGATGCTCACACTGTGAAGCAAAACAGCTCAAACAGGACGGGTTACGCAATAGATCCCGACTTAATCTGCTGGAAGAACATCAGCAAGAGGACCCAAAGGAGAAACTCCTTTAGAGAGTAGCGCCATCACTAAGAAGTATTTTCTCTGCCTCTGAGGAAGCGGGATGTTTCCCTCTGCAGGTAACGAGCACCCAGCAGACCTGTCTGAGTCTAGGTTCACGTCCCAAAGCAGTGAGCAGAGATTCCCAATATTAGACTGCTCTACAGGAGCCTGGCAGACACGACTGACACTTCAGTGAGCGAGCAGACAGGGTAGGAATAATCCCTGCAGGCCGTCTCTCCCTATTTCTCTGTTGCCTGCCAGACGCCGGGTGACTGTGGATGGAACAGCGGTTCATTATCTACGGCTCAATGGATTATGATAACTGGAATCAAGAAGTTTCAATCAACTCAGAAGCCTACTCAGAACCAATAGGTTTTTAATTTCTAATTGCTCGCAGGAAGAAGATAAAACTCACATACTGAGCGATACTGGCTGGATATTTTCATCACATCCAGCATACAAATGGTTGAATAATGGGATTTTGATTCCCTTTATTAAAATATCCAGCCTGGCAATGATTCCTCTGCTGTAAAAGTATGAAATATGAAAATACCCACAGCTACAAGCCAGTGCGGACACTGTTGCAAACAGGATGATAAACCAACAGGAGGTGCAAGAGTTTCAATCTTTGAATGTGTTTCTAATGTAAAACAAAACAGATGGACACCATGAATGAAACTGATCTGCTTGTTCCTCCAGCGAAATATAAGCTCTTCCTGCAAAGTAAATGTGCACAATGCTTTGGTAGTAGGAGTTGGTGAAAGTTTGCACAGTTGTACTTAGTGGGAATTATAAAACTACGAAGCATGGGAGTCATGATGAAGGGCTGATCTGCTGCCTCATCGACACAACTAGCTGGGAATTTTATTGAGACGTTTTACTGGACGAAGTCAGAGCAGACTATTTTTGAACTACTATAGTTAAAGTTCAAGACCATGTCCCTAACGGAGAGGATTTAAATGACAGTATACTTAAGAAAAGTTAAAGATATAATGAAGGATTTTGGAATTTTTCCACTATTTCAGACTCTCCTCTGGTAAGTGAAAATAGGGACGAGCCTGTAGGACGGTCTTACGTAAACATATCACCAGAATGATTGACAATTAGTAGGACCACTTATTTTGATGATCCACTCGGAAAAAGAACATTCTCATCTACGGTATACCTTTAAGGTCCATTTGTTAAAGTTATTTTTCACCAGCTGGAGAAAAATTTGTTTATCTAGTTCAGCCCCCCACATATGGTTAAAATAACTCTAAGCTGGATGAAATAAATATATAGTGGGGAAAAAAACAGCAGCCACATTTGCTGCTTGGAGTGTAGGAAGAGTTGGCGCCAGGTTTTTCATTTCCTTTTCATTAAAGAGCAGATATCTGCTAGTAAGACGGATGAAATGTTATATTAAAAACTGTCTCTAATATGAAATCATCTTAAAGACAAAACTGAATGAAAAAAATTCAATATTCAGAAGCATCATAGAGATGCGTGCAGCAGGAAATGAATTCCACAAGAGAAAAACGTGGAAACATCTTTCAAAACAGCAGAAATCAGCGGCAAGGCTGGGCTATATGGAGTTAAAATCGTATCACAAAATGTTTTGGCTCTATGGTGATAAAGTGAGAATGGAAAAAAAAAACTATTCATCACTTCCTTTGTCTTTCTGAAGTACACAACCCTCACACATACTCTATAATAAGAAATTAGAGTAAACGCCCTTTTAACTCCTCACAAGCTGAAGCGACTAAACGTCTGTCTAACGCGACCGAGTGGTTGGAAAGGATCAGGCCAAGACTAAAAGGAACAAGAGAAAAATGTTCTGTTGAAACAAGCCTTTGTGTTTTACACAAAAAGAGTGATAAATCCCTTTTTTTAAGTTCTTATAAAGGGATACTGTCAGTTGTAATTTTATATTTGTAAAAATAACAGGGAAAAGGAGCAAAAATTAAATCAACAAACAAAAAAAGTGCAATCATTGCAACAGATCTAGTTATAAGCTAGTATTTAGTAATTTAAAAAAAATACATATATATCATTGCATGATATAGATAAGACTGTTATGTGTTTAGTTTTTTAATTGGAAAATATAAATTTGTTTTAGCGATTCAGTCTCCTTTATCGGGGAGAACTGCAGCAGTTCTTTTAAACTTGACTTTATGATTTCGATTTAGACTTTTTTTAGTGATGTTTAGGGAAGTAAGTGGTTCAATTTTGAGGTAAATTTCACCATCTTCCGTAATTTCTTTAATTTCCAGGACAAACATTGCAGACATGTCTAAAGATTTTCCACCTAAACATACATGCATCTATTATTCTGTTTTTTCTAAAAGGATGTAAACCAACCGTTCCTCCCACCACCTCATCCTGTGAGCTGTTGGGTTTCACAGTGTGTGAGCATGACTGCCATGGCGATACAAATTCTATTGTTCTTAAAGATATAAAATTCTGATACATTTGTAAGCAAAAATGCAAAAACATAAAAATAGAGATAGAAAAAAAAAGAGATTTCACCGTGAGTATAAACCAGTGGCAGAATGGCTAGCCTTAAAATAGAAAATAAAAACTTCGTACATTCGTCTTTGACTGTAGATGGAGCCATTGTTATTGCCTTTCATTTTTGCTTTTTTTTTTAAAGGTCAGTACTTAATGTTTGAACTGATCTAAAAACACATTAACTTTATAAATATCTATTGTGCAATTATTAACATAACAAACTGAAAGCAATTTTCCAAAGAAAACACACACACAAAAAAAACATGTGACAGAGTAAACCAGATATTTACATAGAGTATCAGACACTGAATGCTTTCCGTTTCAGGTCGGTTAGCTTTACAAACATCTAGATTATTACCAATTTTAACTGTTTTAGAAAGAGCAGGATGTTTGCACACCTGTGAATCTGTTTTAAAGGGCCTAATTATGCAAAAACTTTGAGGTTTTTTAACTTTGTCACTGATCCTTCATCAAAATCAAACACACAGGGGTATCTCACTTGATTCATGCATGTCTGAGTAATCCTGATGTCAAGCAGAGCATGATGATTCTGGCTCAAAGATAAGCTGAAGAGGCTCCATTAGCAGCTAATCTGCACAGGGAAACAAATCCTTTTTTAAGTTAATGTCTAAATGGCAGTAAATCTTTTTTGGCTGCGAGAGATCTTAGATGTTGCTCAGCTTTTAGACGGCTGTCAAATTGCAATGTCAAAAAATATGCAGCACTCAGACAGGGGGAGGCGGTTTTCCTATGAAGGTCTTTATCTTCAGGATTCAACAAAAACAACTATATTTAGAATGAGTACTCAGAAGTTCTAAAGACATTATTTCATCATACATTTCCCTATAGATGACTTTAAAAGGCTTAAAAAGATGCAATGCTGCCTCTCCTTGTGTAGTTTGATTGCCATATATCTTGTCACTAACAGCAATTAGGCTTTAAAAGGATGAACAAATGTGTTTTGTTTTTTTTACTTTGTATCTTAGATATGGATGATAATACCAATTTCTTTTTGATTTTGATCAGTTTTTCCAAACCAGGGGTACGCATACTTCTAGTGGTCTGCAAGTACATTGCAAGGGGTACATGAACATATTTAATTTCTTAGGCACTAAAATAAAATAGGACTGGGATCTGTTTTGCTTTGTGAGGATCCAAATGAAAAATAAACAAGTTTTTATCAACCACAAAGTAAGTTTTTCTCATATGTTTGAGTTTATCTTCAGCTTTGACACACATCAAAACCCAGCAGAGGAAAAGACTGGATGTAGAGAACAGCCTGGTATCAGCTAATTAAGTCAGTCTAGAAGTGTTGTTCTGTATTTTGTTCCCAATTCATCAAATTTAAATCTGATTATAAGGGAGTTACTCAGAGGAGCTCCAGTTTAATAAATACAGGTTTATAACAGGATTTTATTCTGTATTTATTTCAATTCTTTACTAACTTCCAGGAAACATATCCATGATCATTTTTTTCATTTGAGATGGAAAGCATAAAATTATAAGAATTAAATTCTCAAATTAAAAGATTAAGTAAAATTGTCTTTATTTTATAATCATTTACTGTACGTTTCGCTTTTGGACAAACATCAATACTTCTGACTGAGAGGGGGACTCATAGAACGAAAAAATACCCAAAGAGGTACATGGGTCAGAAAAGGTTGGGAACCACTGATTTTGATGAGGAAAACCATTATAAAATGAAAATGTAAATAAAATAAAAAAAAAATCAAATTTTGCATGATAGAGGCACTTTAAGGTAGCACCTCAAAACCATGGTTTTCTTATGACATCAGCAAAGGGTCTAAAGGTTCTGCCAACCTATCGGAAAAAACATTGTGGAGCTCAGCTGGTCTGGCTCATCCTTGGGTAGGTTAACTAAATGTGTAAAGTTGCCGTATTAATCAGATAAAAATATAGTAGAAACCTTTATTAATTTCCAATCCATTGCTGTACAGGAAAGGTTTGGGTTCCAAGTCCCTCAGAGATAAAGATGTGTTTGAGTTTTATAAGGATGCTGGCTTAATGTGGTTAGAGCATCACTTTCCACAGTGATACGACTTCTCCACCAACAAGAACAGAAGAAGCCGCTGACTTTATGTCAGAAGGAGAGGAAAGGTTTGGAAACTGCAAGGATCTTATGTAGATATCTGGTTATAACAGCAAAAATCAAGTTTTAAACAAATTCATTTAACTTTGTAGTAGTTGAACTGCAGAAAAGGCTGAAAATCCTTCTGAATAATAAGTTTATCTGGTTGTTTCTCTTGTGTTAAACTGCTCAAACAAATAAGAAGAAAGTTTTACCCAATCTTATAACACGGTTCTGACACGTTTCCCATTCAATCATCATTGCTTTGACAGTGAGACATTTCTTCTGGTTGGTGCTGACCTACGGCAAGCTGGATAAGTCACCATGATTCTGCTCTGAAAGAGGCCTAGAAAAATGGCAGACTTTAAAGGATTTCTTTGAGTTATTCTCTGTTTTTTATGGTAAAAACCAAAACTTATCAAACAACTTCATTTATTTTGGATTTGATCTAATCCACAGGGGACTAAATTGATTCATAAACTCTTAAATAGATGCATACAGTATCAGCAAGTTGCAAAGAAACCAGAAACATCCCATTTTCATCAACAAGGTCCTAAGTCTGGATATTGCAGCCCTCCTATAAGCAGAAGTGGTAGAGCTCCTAAAAACTGGTTCCTTTTGCTTCTAAAGCCAAAACCATCAACTGTTCTATGGGTGAAGCTCTGTACAGATTTAATGCTTCAGGCCTCTAATCAGCCCCTAAGTGTGTTTCCCAATAGGGCAAAGAAATCTAAGGCAGGTAAACTTTCCTGTTTGGACTGTTAGTAGCACTTCTGCTACCATTTTTACAATAAGGCCTTCCATAAAAATGGCTTGTATGTATTATATAGATCTGTTATTAATTAATCTGTAAACACTTTATAAATCATCATCTATAAGTCTTTATTATGCATGCCAAAAAATTGTTTGCAAATTCTTATAATAGTAAGGTAGTAACTTATGCAGCTTCAGCTGAAATGAATTGCTTCAATCGGTAAGAAGTAACTGAATTAATTTTGCCAAACTTAATTTACTTAACATAGTTTAATCATACAAATTATAAACTAAATAAAAAAGTAAATACATTTTTTTTCTTTGTATTTTGGGATATTATTTTATTGCAGAGGTTTATGCACAGTTGAGCTCAAAGCCACTTATTTCCCTTGTAGGTTTTAAAGTAATAGTTAATTTCCCCAACGTGATTCTTCTGACTAAAAATAAGGTTAACGCTGTGGAATCATCCAGTTCCTGACTTGATCCTGATAGTAAGTCTGTTTTACATCTTAATAGATGGCTGAGAATTTCCATTCAGAAATAAACATCTCCATTAAATACAAATAATAGCATCTGGAGCTGGTTTTATGAAATGAAATCATTAATAACCTTCTGCCATGTTGTTATAACCGACTTCGACTAACTTTATTCCATCCTATACAAACTGAACGCTTTATGAAAAATGGCGGCTGGATTAATGGATTAAAGCTCCTTTTACAGATTAAACTAAATGTTTAGTAAAAAAACAGCAGAAAAAACAGCAGAGGAGGACAATTTGTGCCTGAATATTTGGCTTTAACAGTACAAACCCAACCAAATAACATTGAAAGTCTCATCAGGACATCTTATTCATACAATACTCAAACTGCCTTAGATTATTATATTACAAATATATAATAATATATTGTAGATTGACAAAACTTTTTTTCTTTATTGTTGTACACCACACTCCAAAATGAGCTTAAAAACGCCCTTTATTATATGTGTTATTGTCTGTTACGCATGGCTTCATATATTCTATACTACACTGCAATATTTACACAGCAGTTTATCTCGTCATTGCCTCCATACGCTCGGCTTTAACCGAAAAGTCCAACTGTTGACGGACTCCATTTGATTCATCGAAATTAAAGGAAAAGTCCGGTCAGCAAGGAATAATCAACAGGTCATTATTATACCTAAAACCAGGCATCCCCAAACTCGGTCCTCAAGGCCCGCTGTCCTGCAGGTTTTAGAGGTTTCCTTGCTCCAGCACAGCTGATTTTAATTGAAAGCTGATTAACAGGCTTTTGGTCTACTGCAATCATAAGCAGCTGTGCTGAAGAAGAGAAACCTCTAAAACCTGCTGGACAGGGGGCCTTGAGGACCGAGTTTGGGGATGCCTGTCTAAAACGAATACGTTTGTGGTGGTATAATGAATTTAGCGTTAATCAGTAAAAAAATAAAACCAATTTTTGTCCAGCTATGCTATATCCAGCTATTTTTACCCATATATAGCAACACCTCACTCCTGACATCTTCCAACAGTGACGTCACGGTGCGGTAAGCCTAGTGCCATTCTCCCCGCTTTACAAGCAAAATCAATGGGAACTACTAGACCCATCTGCAAGCAACAACACTCATTGAAGATTTCCAGAGAACTTCACCAGTGAAATTCACCAGAGCTATAGTTAAACTGACGATGCCCATGTGCATGGCAGCTGGGTGTTGTAATACATCGAGTAAAAGTGAAAAAAACATGAGTTATTTCACCTTTAAGATTCATGATCCTCCAAGGACGGGTTTGGAGTTGGATTGCCAACTTGAAGAGGGAGGATTTACCATCGAACTTCAGGCCAGAGAAAAATAATATATAACTAACATTTCAAAGAAGAATGTTTTCAAGATGATTGGATAATAGCACATTGTGACAAACACCAGATAAAGCACTGGGACTTGTTCAACAGCCGATACGGCACTATGACGTCACAAACTGGTAGGTGGCAATAGCGTTCTTTGACAAACATGGATGTCTCCAATAAATCACATTCAAATTAAAAATTACTATTAATTAAAACACTTATCATTTATTTAACAGTTTTGTAATAATTCTATATTTAAAGTACTTTCAGAAGTTTGAATTCTGAATCTGACCCGACTTTTCCTTTAAGGGCTCTGATTGGTTTAGACCCTTTTATTTCCTGATGTGCTCCCAACACCTGGGAGAGAAATGGCTGACACTTCCTACTGATAACAGCAAAGCAAAACGCAAACACACGCACACATCCCTTAGGTAGGTTTAGAGAGGATCCTGGGTAATAAAAGGCAGTGAAGCTAGAACAAACGGATCAAATCTGAGTTTTTCTTTAACAACAAAAAAAAAAAAAGACGCAGAGAGGACCGACTGTTTGGGCAGTTTCAGCATCTGGAAAAGTCAGCTGCCTGCAAATAAAAAAAGCAGCTTCTACACACAGATATAATCTACTTTAGTTTGGATTATGTTGGAAAAACTGTACAGGATAATATTAGTTAGGAACAGGGACATAGAAACAAACATTTAAGATAAATAATTAAGGCTTGAACAAGACAAAAGCAAATACTGTGAAAGAGTGAACTAAAGTTTGGAAATCAAAGAGCACTATGGCTTGTTTTCAATCCAGCCATCTGCAGCCCTGATCTGACATAACTCCACACCTACTGCAGGGATGCAAAATGGCAGCCACAGAAAAGGCCACTAGAGGGAGCCGTGACATCCAGCTGGTTTGTGTCTCCCCCTGGAGCTGTGGGCTTTAAGGTCATTTGGTGTACTCTACAGCCTCTTCCTCTTAAAGTAGTCGGCGTACTGGCCTCCCAGGCCCTGGGAGTGCTGCCCGATATACGCACTCTCCGATGGCGGCGCCTCCTGCACTGCAAGCTGAGGGTAGTCCCTCTTTATCCCCCGGGTCTGGTTCTGAGGACAGACAATAATGAAGGTGAAAATGTATCATCATGGTTCAGAGTCATAGATGGATGCCAATGATTTGTTTGAAATTTCTTAGGAAATGAACAAACAATCGTTTTATTCAAAAGATAATTTTTGTTTTTCACTCCGAATGTTTGTTTTAAATGGACAAATCGTTAGGAAATGTAGTGAAAAAGTCAAAAAAGACGTATTCTAGAAATCTCTTTAGTGCAAAAGTGAATCAGCAAAATTAAAAATAGTTCAAATGAATCATATTTATACATTTAATTAGTTGTTTGTAAACCAGAACAGAACAAAGAAATCTAAAGTTTTATTTTCAATAAAACCTGATTAGCTATTTCTCTTTACATTTATCATGCAGGTGAGAAAATAAACTCATCAAGTTCAACGGAGACCGGTATAATGTGGACGTTACACCTGCACTCGGCCGTACTGAGGTGGAATGTGAAAAACTCCATCAAGCATTAGAAATGTGCCAGTTAAAACCAATCTGTCACACACCAACACTGCCTTAAAATCAAAGCTATGATGCGCTGGAATACTCAGAGGTGTGAAACCGTTTCCCTCAGCATTGCATGGTCTCCTTCCAGGACCGTATCCCATTTAAACGATAATTTACCCCGAAAGAATGTTCTATCTGCAGAACAGACATTTTTTTCTAGAGGAAACTGGACTCAACACCTACGGCCCCGTTTTCATCATTAAAACTTCAGTTTGCTTCCTTATGGCGGTCAAAACTAACCAAGTATATAGTTATTAACTGTTGAATATATTTGTTATAATAGTGTAACAATGCATGCACATTTGGGACTCTCTTGCACATTGGTACAGATGGAACAACATGCAGGGAGGCAATAATAGCAGAACTGTGTCCATGTAATAGTTACTAATGGAAAAAAAGGCTGGCTTTTTATTGAAAAGGCCTTATTTTAAGCAACTTGTAAATTGTGTAAATTAGTCTGACTTGTATTTGACTAAAACAAGTGATGCATAATCTAAGTAAGAAAATATTCTGAAAGATGCAGATACAGACTATTAAAAAGCTCTCAAATAATCTGTAAAGTAAAACATTGAGCAGAAAGTGGAAAATGAAAAAAGCTCATTTGGTCTTAGCGTTCAGGGCTGGTAGATTTAGGGGGTGGCAGGCTGCACAGAGGCAGGCTGCACAAACAAATGTAAATCTCACTAAAGGCGAGACCCAGCAAGAAAGTCTGGAACTGTTTGGTTTATAGTCACAGTTTTCCTTTCTCTTAACCTCCTCTCAAGCTTTTTTTCTCTGAACGACTTTTATAACTTCAATCTTCTTGAACAAAAAAAGAAAGAAGAGAAAGCTAGAGTTAGATGCAGTGATGTTTAACCTCCACATAATGAGTATATTCACAATATATGGAGTATATCATGGGGGAGCAGATAAATACCACAGCCTCTAAACCAAAGGATCCAGGCTTTGCAGCATGTATGTTATCTTCTCATCCACAGAAAACCTATATGTTAAATGGTTTAAACTGCTCTGAGGTGTCAACAAGATTGTTCCTCAGATGCCCATTTCTCCTTAGGACTGGCTGGGTGTGGAGTCCCCAAATCTTTACATCATATTCAAGGTAAAAAAGGAATGTCTGCCAGATATCTCCACAGAGTACAAACTTTAATATATCAGAAAAAGCAGAAACTCAAAAAGGGAGGACAGGAGGAGAGGAAAGGACACCAAGGAGAGATGGTAAGTAGGTGGAAGGAAGGAAGGAAGGAAGGAAGGAAGGAAGGAAGGAAGGAAGGAAGGAAGGAAGGAAGGAAGGAAGGAAGGAAGGAAGGAAGGAAGGAAGGAAGGAAGGAAGGAAGGAAGGAAGGAAGGAAGGAAGGAAGGAAGGAAGGAAGGAAGGACCCATTAGTGGTTCCCAATGAAAACTGAAATTCAGTTGAAATCCCAAAGAAAGAACAGGACTTGAAACCACCTTCATATATAAAGAACAGAAAGTTAGAGGCACTTTGGTTCCCACAACTTGCATCTGTTAATATGTGACATTTAACCTTTAACACGCTGAATTACGAGGAACCAAAACTAAAAACAATTGGTTATTTATTCCCTTTACTTATTTTGTAAAGTCATTCATTGGTGTTTTTGCATCTACAGTATTTCTTTTATTTTTATTTATTTGTTTTTGTAGTTCAGGGGATAGCAGCAGAATTATTAAAAGAAACTACCTGAACTTAACAGTTAAGAGAGACGGGGGATGGGATTTCTATAAGTTTTAGCAATTTGCTAAGATTTAATTACTTCCTTCTTCTTTTCGAACAATTGATCCAACAATAACAGGCTCATTGATTTTCTGAGGATTTGTTTGTGCTGATCTGTTTCTCTTTGTTGTCTCGCTGTCTTTTATGTTTCAAACTGTCCAAAATCAATCAAATCAAATCAAATTATAAAATGTCAGCAGAAAATCATCACAGTTAACGTGAAATAAAGTGTAAAAACAGCAGTGTGTTCTTATGATAGTATAATAAACTGCTATTTGCTTCTTTTGTTGATTAGCTTTAATTTATAAAAATACAAAGAACACAAGCGTCTAAATAAATGCTAAACTCTTGATGAAAATCACAAATTGAGAGTAAAATTCTGATGGATTCATCAGTAAAATCAAAAACAAAGATTATGTTTCCTAAACTTGGTAAAATATCTCAATCTTTCGGAATCCCAGTATGAAAGAATTCATTTCCAACAGCCAGGTCCTGTAATGTGACTCACATAGTAGTACGTGTTCCAGTCTGTGGCCGCCGTGTGAGCGTGCGTGACAGAGCTGGGACCAGCTGGAGGGGGATGTGGTGCTCCGAGAAAGCCAGGCATTAAAGGAAGGGCGCTGTAGGCTGGGAGCACGGCTGTGGCAGGCAGAACCGCTGCAGGAGGTGCTGGACCGTTACTGACTGCATGCAGAGGGACTCCCAGAGACTTACACACCTCTACTTCCTGCAGTGAACACATCCATACAACAATAAGCATCCAGTATAAAACATTTCCTTTAAAAGTTAAACTTGTGTTCCTAATAGTCTGCATATTCTGATTGTCTGCTTCAGAATTGGTTGAACTTTTCCGCCCTCTAGTGGCCGCTGAAAGTCAAACTCTATTTTTTTTTTATTTCAGTTTGTGCCCAAGACGTTAAACCTAAATAAAATATTCCTATGAAGAGATTTTTAAAACTTCAGCACCAGAAAACCATCTATGAATAAATCTAAATGCAAAATAATTGCAAGCAACTTCTGAAAACCTACAGCCTCATTTGGCACACAAACTTCTCAACCGTCACACCAAAGGTAGATCCATTCGTATAATGAAACTGCTGCAGAGTTATACTTTTTCCAGTTTACTAAAACTTCAAAAATTATATCCGAGATTTATTCCAAGGTCACTCAATAATGGAAACAGGGAATTCATGCAAATGCAAGTAACATTCCTGAGGCATGCAGCCTCAAACACTTCACAAGGAACATCCTTCCCATCAGATGTATAAGATTATAGTAAAGCCCAAACATGATCAAAATTATGGAGTGGAAATCAGAAATAATCTACTAATGGCATTTCATTTAAATTAGTATGTATTTATTTATGAGGCAGGTTGCAAATTGATAACTGCAGTGCATGTTCTCGCAGATTTATACTATAGAAATGCTGGAAAACTGTCTTTAGTTCTATGGTGAAATGAACATCCGTGAATCTACAGTAAAGCTTCATAAAACAAGATCTCAGTGTTTATGACAATATCTTTAGGGAATTAATTAATTCGATTTAGTTTATTTCTATAGCGCCAATTCACAAACCATGTCATCTCAAGTCACTTTACAGTTCAACAGATCATACAGTCAAATTGATTCAAGTTTTCTATCTAAGGAAAACCAGTTGATTGAATCGACTCATTGACTTGAAGGCAATCCCTCACACTAAGCATGCTTGTAGCGACAGTGGAGAGGAAAAACTCCCTTTTAACAGGAAGAAACCTCATCAGAACCAGGCTCAGTGTGAGCGGCCATCTGCCAAGGCCGACTGGGGTTCAAGGAGACAGAAGCAGAGATACAAAAAGCAGCTGTAAATTACAGTTATTAACAACCTTATATCCACTGCTACTTCATGTATTGTGGCTCTTTTTTTTTATTCGACAACTGATAACACAACTTTTGGTTTAAACCGAGAGAATATGAGGTGCTGTTTTGAACTTAGCCAGCCTGTGTGTACCTTGCTGGCGAAGGCCTGGTTTGTTGTTGGAGGCTGGGAGTAGTACTGAGTCACAGCCTGCATGTAGGTGGTGTAATCCCCATAGGTGGAGGCAGCAGGAACCTGGAACACAAACATCTTACAATCACCAAACTTTATCGTCATACACAATCAAAAAAGAAAAAGAAAATTAAAATCCCTCACTATAAACAGTCCTTTTTTAAAGAGAATATAACCATGTAAAGGTTTTTGCATTCGTCAGGTTGCAGCCACAAACTTTAATGTATTGCACTTTATAAAAAAAATCATGGATTTTACTGTACATGACAGAGTGGGAAAAACTAAAACAAAAAGAAAGAATATGGCTGCAGAGAGTTACTATGAAAGTTAGATGTGAAGGTTCATGTTTATTAAAAAAAAAGAGTAACTAAACTTAATTTAATGAGCAATATTACAGATATTATTTATATTAATTGTTATAATTAATTAATTGTTAAGATCAAGGTGGTTATTGAAAATTACAGCTAATGAAATCAGGAATACTAAGATAAAAAAAATGATGATGGGAATAAAAAATCAAAACCAGAACTTGCAAAAAAAAAAAATATATATATATATATATAACAGAATCAAAAATCAATAATTAAACTAAAACTCTAATCAGTTTATAAAGCTAATTAAAACTAACATATCCATGAATGTGCTTAGTTATCATTTCGAGGTCTAGTTTCCGGCTGCAGTTTTTTGCATTACATCAGCAGTCATGTGTGCTGCTGCAGCGGTCTGTCCTGATCTGGTCTTGGATTCTATTTTTTTCTGAGGTATGTAAGTCGCATTACAGAAAATACAAAAACTATAACTGGAGCTAATAATGATAAATAGTAAAAATAACTCAAATGTAAAATAGAATGAATAAAAACAAAAACTAATGATAATTCAAAACTCTTTAAACCTTTGATCAGATACAAAAACATTTCCAAAAAAACACGCTAAAAGCTGCTATCGATCAGCTCATACAGTAGTCCGTATAGAAAAAAGAAAGTATCTCTTGAGTTGATGAGTGTTTATAGGCACTCAGTGAAATACTGTGAAAATCCAAATTTCAAGCCAATAGTGTTATTGGAATCCAGGACAAGACCTTAGTACCATTGTAACATTAAAAAATATGGATATTTTGATGGCAAAAAATAATATCAGTGTAATAACAAGAAACGCCAACTTCCCCGAATATATTAAGAAAAATAAAAAAATGTTCTTTTATAAGAAATTCATGAAATGAGTGTAAAAGACACATTTTTTTGGTCCAACATTAATGCTGATACTGACACTTACATTTTTTTAGTTTAAATATAATTGTTAACTTGGCTTATTAACTTTTTCACTATACTTTTTAACTTTTCAATTAGCTTTTTTAATCTTTTTTTTTCTAGAATTGTTAACTTTTGCTTTTCAACTTAATTTACAGTAGGTAATACATCATTTAAGGGCTCATCTAAATGGTCAAATGCCAAAATAAGATGTACAGCCATGTAGCAGTGTCTTTGCTGAATGGCTGGATATAGATCTTGTGCTTGTAAGGCAAGTGATCAGAAATGGTAACTTGCCTTATAAAGTGTTTAACAGGGTAAGTATAATGGGAAAATGAGTAGAAGCATTAGAAACTGGCAGAGTGACATTAGCATAAAGACAAATTAGAAATGACGGGGACAAATTTGATTTAATATGAGTCATTTATTATGTTGGGTTAATTTAAATGGTTCAGTAAATTAATCATTTTATCTTTTATTTTATGGGGATGAGTCTTGCTTCCTGTTTCCTTGTTTTACTCCTTATCAGTTGGTGGTGGTAATAATGCACTACAAATAGATTGAAAACTGCCATAAAACTAAAAGAAGAAGAGTGATCTGATAAAGCACAACTGAAGTGTCAACCACTTCTTTTCAAATGTCTCCAAGGTTACTGGGTTTCTAACAGGGTTTTCATCCGTCCTCAAGTCAAGTCAGATGCAGCTTGCTCTAAGGTTTACCTGTGCATGCTCCTTGCTGTAGTCTGCAGCTGCGCCGTCCTGTGGGGCAGCGGTACCGTAGGTGTGGGCCTGTGCTGCCTGGTAGTGCTGGTACCACTGGTGCATGGCCTCCTAAAGCAACACAGAGCAGCAAGCATCAGCTGAACAGTTGGAGGTATTGCTGTGTGATTCTCATGCTGCTTTGAATGCGCCCTTATTTGTCAGCCATTAACCATTGTTGCTAGAGACAGCTCTCTCTCCCGTTTGCCTCCTTTGTCACGTCGACAAATTAAGCAGACCGTTTTATTGGTTACCTAATCATGACTCATTTGCTTGGATGAGTAGATTGTAATTAACATTTAAAAAGGGGCTTTCTTCTCGCTGCTAAATATCAGATATGTCATTTGCTGCTGTAGGAGGAACAACGACAAGCGGGGAAAAAGAAATGGAGTGACAGGAGAGGGAAGAAAAAAGGAACGGACAGGGGGAACAGACAAACAGCCCGTAGGAGGGTTCCAAGACGTGTTTTGAGAGAAGGGTTGAGAAAAGAGAGGAGCAGGGGACAGATGGAGACGCACAGCGCTTACTGCCAAATCCGCTCTCATCCTCACTGTCCTACCATGCAAACAGTCTGATTTCTCCCAGCCTCCTCTACTTAAAGCTCCCCATTTATCCAATCAGTTCTAACCAAGCAGATCAGCTGATATCAATATATCAGCATATTTGCTTTGCTGTACCTGTGTGTACGCTTGGTTGTACTGGGTGAAGTCAGAGGAGGCGTCAGAGCTGTACGGGGCGGGTGTGGTAGCTGCGACGCTGTGGGAGAATGAGGTCGAACCCTGGGAGACCATGGGAGCGACCGGGTTCCCATACACCCCGGCGCCTGGCTGTCCTCCCTGAGGCTTATTAGCCACGGAGTCTGAAAAACACAAACAGGGCAATCTAAATTCAATGGACAGAGCTTCACAGGAGATGACTTTTCACATTTTGTGACGTCACAACCACAAATGTCTGCTGTGAATTTGAGATCAACACAAAGCATAAAGGTAATGAGGAGACAAAGGAATGGATAGTTTCCTAAACTTTACATAAAACTCTGGCTAAATGTGCTGAGGTTTGTGTTTTCTTTTCCTGACTCAAATCATTAGCATCAGTTACATTTACTTGAGTAATTTTTAAAAATGTATTTACTGCATGACATGTTTTACTTGTATTTGAGTAAGATCTTAACATAATATTTCTTCTTTTACTTAAATAAAGTGTTTGACATCACAGAAAAAAAGTCATTTGGTCTTAAAATAAGTGCATTTGGTCTTGAGTTGAGGAGGTTAAAGAAACATTTTGTCAATGGAACAAGGCAATTTATATTTAAAATAAGAAAACACAAGTGCATTGTCTTATCTCAAATACTTGTTATCTAATTATCTTATTTTTAAGAGTAAAAATACTTTTTAAAATCTCATTTAAACTACTCAAATTAAGGATAAATACATTTTATTTGTGAATTTTTTCTAGATTATTTTTTTTTCCATTGCAGCTCCGTTCATCAAGAGTAACTTTAATGAATAGCTTGTTAAAAAAAAAAGTTAATGTCAAATTGAGTATTTCTTTTTTCCAACAAAAGCTTATTGGAACCCTATCAAGACATTTGGAGGTCACACTAATATACAGTAAGGAGTAAATATTTCCTGTTTCATAAATTGTATGCTAAAAAGAAAATTGGTTTGGAAAAGTGTTTCTCTTGCCTCAACTTGTCATTTTCAATTACATTATTAGTTTGCTTTGTTTATTTTATTATAGTATTTAAAATACCCAAATTAATTTATGATTTTAGTCGTCCAGCTGGAAAGTAAATCTTTGCCCCAGTGTCAAGTCCTTTGGAGACCATAATGCAACAAGTCGACCTCTGAAATCCTGGGGATCAGCCAGACACAGGGGGCCTTTAAAAGGTTTGTTTGTAATAAACGATCTTGGCTGGTAGAAAGGTAATTGAGCAGAACCTGCTGGGGACAGGCTGAACTGGCTGACAGCAGATCTGAGAAGGCAGACGACGATTAAACAGAGTGAAATAAGGCTTTAAGCAGACTGGTGACAGGCAGAAAAAGTCCAGAACGTGACCAAAAGTCAGAAGACAAAAGTCAATCTAATCAAGGCAGGCTGAGAAGAGGAAAGCAGTAGGTGTAGGGTGATTCGCATACAAGCAAAGAGGAGACGCTCTGGTGGGGAATAACTGAGAGACGCAGATATAAAAAAGCAAATTAACAGCTGGGAAGAAAGTAGGTGATTTCTGCAGCAACAGAAATGTCCACTCGCTTGTGAATCCTCTATGCTCATTGGCACCAACTAGTCACATTTATGATTGGTCAATGCTGAAAATCATTAATATTAGCTTAAAGCAGGTACATAGTCCAAGAGAAGACCCCTTTGTCTCTCTATTGGAAGGGTCTTGCTGTTATATCTGGGATGAACTTTTTTTTGCAGGTTGCCTGACCACTGATGCAGAGATGCCTCATGTGGCTTAAACAGCTGATCTCCTGCACCCTTGCAGTGTTTCCTCTGTAGAGGATCTTTGTGGGGCAGTTCTACTCCTGTAGCACTGCATTCAGTTCACTGCCTGTCCTTTTCTGCTTGTTCACTGTAAGCCCCTCCCCCACTTATTCTCAGTCTAGCTCAGGTATTGCTTTTAGAGGAGTGGACTTCAGCCTCTTCTGGAGGATAAATACTCTATGGCCAAACAAGCTTACAAGCCTAAATTCTTGTTTTTGAATTATGTAAGCTTCAAGACTTTTAATTTAATTTGTCTTTCATGTCTTGAAAAATATGTTAAAAGCTTAAGTGTTGTTTTAGAAACTCCTTAACTCTGTCCTTGACTGATCTATTTGTTTGTTTTCACTGATCTGCTGCTTTAGTGACAAACATTAGGCTGCATTTATCTTGTCATTCAACAAGATCTATATCATGTCCAGTGGAAACCTTCCATCTCAGGCTTCTACATAGCTAAAATATTTTCAGCCTTTTTCTTCCCAATGTTGTGGCACATTCTCCTGGTCAAAGAGACAGCTGCTGTCCACAAGTTTGTTTCTCACTAACAATACCCAGGTGGGTGGTACCTGTCAAGGTAACTCCAGCATGAGCCGAGGCAGCACAGTTACTCGGCCGATCATTTTATGACCTCCTCCTGTCTGAGGATTGGATGTTGCGGCTGACTGAAGGAAAAAAGTGGGGCATACCCAACTGGTTCTGGCTCAGACTGTTGTTTCATTTTTTCTGGAGCCTACGACCAGAGCTGGGCTATATTGAAAAGGCATGTTGAGCTGTCAATGTTTACACTGTACTGAATGTGCATAAATGACACAGAGAGGAATGATTCCGCTAGAGAGCTTCAAACTGACTCTGTGCTGATTTCTTCTACCTTTCCTATGCGTTTGCAACCTATGAGATTTATACCACACTGCAAACATTCAATCTGAAAAATTGGAGGCAGAGTTTTAAAATGTTTAACTGACATGCATTTTTCTTAAAAAGGGGACCCCATCTCCCATTACCATACAGTCTTTCAGTTTCAATCCTTTATATAATGGACTAGAGCATGAAAAGACTCACTGATGTCCAAGCGTGATTTTTTATTTTGTGTGCGTATTTTTGTGCTCACTTTGCAGAACGACTCCCGGCATCACACTGGCCAAGTTCAGGTATGGATTAGAGGGAAGTCTGACTTCTTTAGGAGGATCGCCTAATAGAGAATTCTGTCCACTGTTTACCTGATGAGAGAGAGACATTTTAATCATACAGCGCCCTGAAAAACATATACGCACTTCATGTTTTATCACATTACAAACTTCAAATTGTTTCATTTGTGTTTTATACAACAGAACAACACAAAGTAGTATTTAATTGGAAAAAAAGAAGGAAGAAGGGGGATTATTTAAAAAAAAAGATTATAAAATAATAAAAATCTGAATGTGGCGTGCATAGCTACATACTCAACCCCCAATTCCTCTGCTACCCTTAACTAAAATCCTCCAACTGCTGAATCAAATCTAGTGCAAAGCAGCATTGCCTTGTCTTGTATTTAGTTTATTCTCCTAAATCCTGCTCTACTTTATCCCAAGTGTTAAAATATCATCTGAAGGGCGTTAAGAAGACAGCAAGCGGTGAAGGAAAACCCTTTAAAGAGAAGCATTAGTCAAATAAGAACAATTCAGGATTCATGTTTGTATCCAAAACAATACATTCTGTAGGGATACATCCTATAGGAAAACGTTTCAAATGTCCTAAATTGTGCTTTTTAAAGTCAACTATAGGCATATATGTATATGATGAAATATTGCCTTTCGCACTACGGCGCAATTATTAGTTATAAAATATCAGCTGTTTTCTCCTGCCGGCCATTTCATGAAGTATATATTTTGGGGTCTTTTTATGTTTGGTTTCAGAAAGAATCCATGTACTTCTTCAATATACTTAGGCCCTGAACAAAGTCTGAGACCCTGCAACCAAAAAACAAATTTTTATAACTTAGACACTAGCTATAAAAACAGTTGCTGTCACTATGCAGATTAGCTGCTAAAAGAGACACTCCGTCTCACCTTCCTGGAAGAAGGTTGGTTAACATGTTCCTATGTAGGACAGTTTTTTTTTTTTTCAGTGTATGGAAGACATTCCCCCCAACTTTCATATAAAAGATGTGCAGTAATTGGCATAGGTAAGTTCAAAATTTGCTGCTGATCAGAGAGTAGAAATGAGGAGCATTACTTAGACTGGCATGTACTGAACAAAAGACCACTTTTTGCATGATTTGGATGAATGGGAAACATTATTACAACATACATAAAGTCTGAAAAGCCAAAAATGCTGATTTTGCTATAGGCCCTTTAAAATGTGAAGAACTTGAGACGGGAGCAGACGTTCAGTTCTCACCAAGACAACAACCCTAAGCATACAGCGTGTCAATGGAGAAGTTTAGTTTTAAGGGTAACATGACTGTTAGAATGCACTAGTCATAGCCTTGCTGTAAATCTGTGGGATAATTTGAAAACAGACCCTCTCCATCCAATCTGACAGAACTCAAATCCTCTTCTAAAGAGGCAAAGGCAGGCTTTTTACCATCTAGATATGTATAGCTGTTGGCACATACCCTAGAAGACCCGCAGCTGCGATCGCCTTGAAAAAGTCCTAGAAAGCATTAGTTCAGGAGGAATAAATAGACACACAATGCAAGTATGGATAATTTCCTTCCACTTTGCATTTGTCACATCAAACACACTGATATTCGCAAGTGTAATATACCGGAATGTTCAAAACTTAGATAGGTAGGATATTATTCCTCACACATTAATCAGCAATCCTTAAAAACATCCAAGGGAAGAGGGTCTGCTGCTGCTTCAGAGGGAGGAGAACCGGAGTAGGTCGCTCTGTTAATTAAACTCTCTTGAATCTAAAGACAATCCCAAAGAGGGAATTCCTTCCCAGAAGCCCTCACTACTGTGATTACAGGTGTGCACGGCCTTGTTAGAGATTTCAGTGGAGTATTTTACAACTACTGTGGTTTATAATGAGTTAAAAAGCCAGAAAAGCAGAGCATCTCAACGCAGAAAGAGATGCTGGAGAAAGAGCAACAGCTTGAAAGACTGAAAACAGAACGTGTTAATTATCAGAAAATATGTATCCATGAAAAACTACATCTATTTTTACTTTAGCCTTGCGCTATCGATCAACTTCTTTACTGAGCTTTATTAATCGTTTGTTAACAGAAGAGATAACAAGGTTAAAGGAATAGTACACCCAAAACATGATTAGCCTTAATTTTCTACTCACCCCCATGCTGAACAAAACTCTGGAGTACTTTTTTGATATCTCAAATGCATCTGGAGATCTGGGAGGCTTCTTGCTGTCTGCTGACATTCAAATAATGGAGGTCTATGGTGACCGAGACAGAAAGGTCCATAAAAGTCCACAAAAACGTGTCAATATTCCTCCATACTGCTTGTCCAATGTAATCCAAGTGTCCTGAGTGGGTAGCATCCAGAATTTACTCGAAACGAAGTCATTTAGAACGTTTTAGAGCATAAACAGTAGTGTATAGGATTTCCTAATAGCGCCCCCATGCGCGCTCACGATTCTACGGAAGCCGGCAGACCAAACCAGCGCATTCAGCTCGGCAAAGAACTCATGCTCTTCCTCAACACTGAAGTCCTCAGACATTTTTCTTTCGTTGTTTCTTTCTTTGCACAGGTAAACAGCACATTTCTTCTTCTACGCTTGCATTATCGGCAGAGCAGACGCTGAATGCGCACTTTCTTCCGGTTTGGTCTGCCGGCTTCCGTAGAATCGTGAGCGCGCATGGGGGCGCTATTAGGAAATCTTATACACTACTGTTTAGGCTCTAAAACGTTCTAAATGACTTCGTTTCGAGTAAATTATGGACGCTACCCACTCAGGACACTTGGAATACATTGGACGAGCAGTATGGAGGAATATTGACACGTTTTTGTGGACTTTTATGGACCTTTCTGTGTCGGGCGCCATAGACCTCCATTATTTGAATGTCAGCAGACAGCAAGAAGCCTCCCAGATCTCCAGATGCATTTGAGATATCACAAAAGTACTCCAGAGTTTTGTTCAGCATGGGGGTGAGTAGAAAATGAAGGCTAATCATGTTTTGGGTGTACTATTCCTTTAAATGGTGAGAAACATTTTTCAACATCTGTGGTTTAAATAATCAAAATTAAAAGTGACTTCATTAAAAAAAATAGTGGGACTATTGAAAGTAGTCCAACAAAGCACTGCTTCAACCAACTCGCTTCATTCATTTAATGCTCATACTGCATATGAAAGCTGGGGGTACATTAAAATAAAAACAAAACAAAAAACCAAGGAAACTAGAAAAAAAACACTGAATAATTGGCAATTGAGCTGAATTTACGTAAAACAAAATGCTAATGAAAATATATCAGTGCAGCTAATTTTGATGCATTTTATGTTTTATGTTTTACATATAAATTTTAAGCTGTCAGTACTTCGCTGACTGTCTAGTAGCAATGTCTAATGTTCACAGAAGATAATAAAACATGTTTTTTTTACTATGTATATACAGAAATTGTACAAATAAAACTTTGTTCAGCCTTGTTCGGCCTGTGATACTCGTCATTGATTTATAGGTTCAACCCAAATAACACCTTGATTTGCATTTAGGTCTTTTTATTTGTTTAAATACATTTATTCTATTTCTAAGGTCCTGTAATTAGTTCATTTATGAAACTTTATCTGTTTAGGTGTCATTTTTGGTTTGTGATGATTATGAAATCGTTCAATGGTGGTGCAGCTTGCAGCCCTGTTGGCTTGCAGCAAGTCTTGTGTCTTTCTACATGAAGTTTTTTCATGTTCACCCCATGTATGGGACTGGCTTCCTTCCACAGTCAAAACCATCAGGTTGATTGTTGTCTCTAAATCTGTTCAGGGTCTAGTTGTCCTTTCCCCCATCCACTGCTAGAGACAGGCACCAGCCCCCTACCTTCATTCTAATGGATAGACGGTTCATTTTATGGTCTTATCTTTCTTTATTGCCTGACAAAGATGGCAACCAAAATGGACCCTGTCCCGCCTGGGTAGGGGAATCTTCAAGTTTCTTTATTTTAAAATAGCCTTTTGTATTTGGGCTCATTATTTGTTTGAAGATTTAAAGGAATAGTACACCCAAAACATGATTAGCCTTCATTTTCTACTCACCCCCCATGCTGAACAACACTCTGGAGTACTTTTTAGATATCTCAAATGCATCTGGAGATCAGGGAGGCTTCTTGCTGTCTGCTGACATTCAAATAATGGAGGTGCCCAGCGCCCGAGGCAGAAAGGTCCATAAAAGTCCACAAAAAACGTTTCAATATTCCTCCATACTGCTCGTCCAATGTATTCCAAGTTTCCTGAGTGGGTAGCATCCAGAATTCACTCGAAACGAAGTCATTTAGAATGTTTTTAGAGCATAAAGAGTAGTGTATAGGATTTCCTGAAAGCTCGCACATGCGCGTTCACGACGCTACGGAAGCCGGCAGACCAAACCAGCGCATTCAGCTCGGCAAAGAACTCATGCTCTTCCTCAACACTGAAGTCCGCAGACATTTTTCTTTCGTTGTTTCTTTCTTTGCACAGGTAAACGGCACATTTCTTCTTCTACGCTTGCATTATCGGCAGAGCAGACGCTGAATGCGCACTTTCATCTGGTTTGGTCTGCCGGCTTCCGTAGCGTCGTGATCGCGCAGGTGCGCGCTTTCAGGAAATCCTATACACTACTGTTTATGCTCTAAAAACATTCTAAATGACTTCGTTTCGAGTAAATTCTGGATGCTACCCACTCAGGACACTTGGAATACATTGGACGAGCAGTATGGAGGAATATTGACACGTTTTTTGTGGACTTTTATGGACCTTTCTGTCTCGGGCACCATAGACCTCCATTATTTGAATGTCAGCAGACAGCAAGAAGCCTCCCAGATCTCCAGATGCATTTGAGATATCAAAAAAGTACTCCAGAGTGTTGTTCAGCATTGGGGTGAGTAGAAAATGAAGGCTAATCATGTTTTGGGTGTACTATTCCTTTAATGTCTTTTGGTTTCCTTCTTTGCTGTAGCTTAGCATAACAGGCTTAACTGAACTGGGTTGATTTTATGTAAATTTTGGTTGTTGGGTTTGGTCTCCACAGTTGAGAGATGATGCTCTGATCAGCCTGAATATAGACACTGTTGTGTTTCATTTGTGTTTTGTTTGTGCAGTCAGTTAAATGCTGTTTCTTTAAACTCATATGATCTTAATGGCCTTTTTTTTTTTATAAATTCCGGTTTTGGGTTAAAGTAAAAACCTTATTTTTGACTCAAAGATTCCGACTCAGCACCACATTGTCATGATAGCAGCCCAGGTAGCTGATCTGATTACTCACTTCATTCCCCTGCCCTTCCCTCCCTGTGCTCTAATTATCAGCACTCTTATTCACCTGCTCCCACTGCTTTATACACGGTTCAGCTCAGCTATCGGAGCCCGTCTTAATTCCCGTAATCCTGGCTCCGAGGTGGAGAACAGTTTAAAGTTCTGCCGTTCTCCTGGTACCATGTGTTGTTTCTGTCCCTCTCAACCACTGGGCCTGCCTATCTCCATCTGAGCTTGTCTGTCTGAACTCGCAGCTGGACTCATTGTAACTCGGAACCTGCCTTAACGCTCTGTGGATTCCTAGAACCCTGTATCTGTCTGTTCCTGTGTGGATAGGAAACCCTGCTCTGGCTACAGATTCATAGTTCTCAGAACGGTCCCGTTCTGAACTGAACCTGGATCGGTCTCCTGCCTGTGTTTCCCCCACATCCGGAGTGCCATTGATGAGCAATTTGCTGCCTTCTCCCTGCAGTCGCTGCAGGTCCGCTGATCCACAGCACCCCGTGTTTCTGTTCTGTCTTATTATTTTGCATTAAATGTTTTGAAACATCCCTCTGTCCGACTCTGCCTGAATACTGGGTCCATCTGTCCCATGTCATGAAACACATGTGGCCATTTAGCTAAAGAAATGCTAACCTCTGTATTATAGTATTTGTCAAGAGCTGTAATATCTGGTTTAGTATAAATAAAGGAGGGACACCATGTAAGCTACTGGTAAACTAATGATATTCAGGCCAGAAGATTGTGATCATCGCTCTGCAGAAGGAAGAAGCTACAGTTAACAGGGTGGCATCTTTACACCTCAGTGTGCTCACCATGTTAGTCAGACTGTTACCATCTGAGCTGTTGTGCTGGCCGGATGATGCATACACTCCTCCAGGGGGTTTAGGTGGAGGCGGGCCAAGGCCTGAGTTACTTATACCCAAAGAGTAGCTCTGTCCCTGTGGCTGGGAGCTCCCCAACGTCCCAGGAGGAGCCGGCTGTCTGTCGCAGGAGGTGGAACAGGAAGAGGAGGAAGCAGAAGGGGCTGTTGACACAGACAGGGAGATGTTATGGTCTCCTCCTCCTGTTCCTGCTCCTCGACCCTGAAGAAACGGCATCACCCCGGCTGCTGAAGCCACTACTGCAGAGTTGTGGGTAGTTGATGGCACAGGCTCCTGGAGCAGCTCTAGGATGGAAAGGAAAACATATGAGAACATTAAAAAAAAGGTAAGGAAATGAATGGGAGGGAAAGCAAAGATAAAGAAGGAAGATAGCACAAAGAAATATAGTAGAGGAAATGAAGCGAAGTAAGGTGTCGGAAGGATAACAGACTATATAAGATACAGCTTTTCATGATGACCAATGGCATTCGTCTCCACTGGAGGGGAAAAAAAAAACAGAAAAATGATCTTGGTGAAACCTGAGATCCCAGCCAAGCTGTCTCTAGAGCTGAGTGTTATAATTTCAAATGGGCTTCCTGCTCATTCTTCATCACTTATCATGCTCATCTACAGCTCAGCACTTAGCTGCACACTCCCAATATCTCCCTCGCTTACTCCAGGGTTTAATAACAAAAAGATGTACAAACATATAACAAGAGCAGACACACACACAACACTAAAGATGAACACCCACACACAAGAGTTATAAATATTACGGATCTAATATCACTGTGACAAATAACCTCTGCAACACAATGATAGGATTGACTCCAACGAGTCTTTAGGCTAAGATTCCCAGCTAACAACAATCAAAGCTTTACTTTACAAACAGAACAGAAGTAAAACAAACACACACACCCAGACACTGAAGGACGGACCCACTAATACATTAGTACACAAAACTGTCTGCTATGTCTCTGCCCATTATATGTGAGATATCATTTCCATTTAAAACAACAACAGCTTGTCTCTGCTGGGGATTTGAGTTGGAAATGCACTGCTGCATCCTGGGGATGTTTGCTTCAGTAATGTACAGCTGTGAGATATTCGGCCCTGTCATCCCAAGCATTTACACTTTCTGACAGCCAGTTCAAATATTGGAGCTGACCTTCAAGGGCTCAGATACCCCAACCTTTAGGCACCAGAGGTCAACAGATTTTCCCTTGTCTGAGCATAAATGCAAATAAGGGAAAACATGGTTTTAAAATAATTTTCTTTGAGGGAACTCAAACAGTCTGAAACATAATGCTATGCTAAACAATGCTATCACTTGTATGAGTATTAATAAGAACATTTACTCACACATCTATAAATCTAGCAGCCCCAACTGAACAGCTCTGCAGCTTTAGCTTGTACTTCAGAGAAGACCAATCTTTATAATGTACTTCCAGCACCAGAGGTGTCAAGGAGATAAGTATAAATACTTAGTTACCTTACCTATGTTATTTATACTTTACTGGAGTAATTATTTTTAGGTCCACTTTAATTTTTACTCCTTACTTAAGTTTTCATACAATTATCTGTACTTTCCACTCTTTTTTTTAAGTACCCAAAAATGAACCTTTTAAAATGTTCATTTTTGGGTGGGAAAAAAACACATATAACCTGTGCTATTTGGATAAAAAATGTTGATTGTGATTGGATGAGAAGAGTACGCATTTATCATTTGTACACCCTATTGGTTTATAAACTGTTCATCTGACCAGGACTTTAGACTGATCACATTTTAGTCCATTTTAGCACGGATGTAGCAGAGAAAAAGACGGAAAAGTTCCTAAAGAAATAAAGGAGAATTTCCCAGCCAAGTACCACTGAGGGGATCGTTTGCCAAGAAGAGCAGACAACTTTTGCACATCGATGGCCAAACAGAGTATCATGAATTACCAGGATATTTATCTACTTTTAGATCAGTTATTTTGAGAATTTTTTTTTCAGTACTGTGCATTTTACTTGATCAACCTTAAACAACTGAGTTTTACAAAGCCTGCCTTGGATTCACTTGTTCCTGTCCTGTTTTGTAACCTTTGGTTTAAAGTTAGTGCAGCTAAGCTTGAATGTACTTTTAATCTCAATTCAATTCAATGGTAAGTTCATTGGCCGTTCATTTTAAATTATTCAACATTAACATTTTTATATACATTTATATATACGCTTATGTACTTTGTGGGGTTTTTTTTCCTTTCACATCTTACTGTAATACATTAAGTAGTTCTTAAACTTGTAATTGTTTGCTTCTATTGAGTCAAAAGCTTGAGCTAATAACTAAACTATTTATTATCCTGGTATCTTTACTTCTAATTGAGTAATGATGGTGATTTAATTTTTATTGGATCTTTGACTTTACTTTGTTATTTCTTCACCTCCCTGGGATGTGCTAACAGGCTTAGCTGCACTAGGTTACTCCATTGTTTATCCCCTGAGCACATGTGCAGTATCGTGTTGTTCTTCTTTGTTATTGAAAATTACCTGAAAGATTTTATTTACTGACCAATTGAGCAAAAACAGTGTAAAACAGAATGATAGCTAATAATACAGCATCGGGATAAGGTCATCTTTTAGGAAAAACTTGGTATAAAACCAGAGTGAGCTAGTATTTAAAGAAGACAGTATTAGAAAATAAGCTGCAGGTAAGGAATACTTTTGATTTTTAACTCTTTGGTTATGAGTTATTACAAAAACTCAGTGTTTTAACTAAATCTCAGAAGTCAGCTTTGCCTACCTGTAGGAGAGTCACCTAAGATGCCTTTACCCAGTGATAGGAGACCTGGAGGCCTCAGAGACAGAGCTTTCTGCATCAGCAGCCTGGAAGGGTCTCCAAGCAGACTGGTGACCTGATAAAGGTGGAGAGAAAAAAAAGAAGCTTTAGACATGCAATAGTAAAAAAAAGATGAATAAGAAGAGAAGGTAGAACAGATGAAACAGACTTGATCCCATTTCATTTAAATGAGACAATTTACTACAAAATATTAACTCAGGAGACTTTAAATGATTGAATGAAAACTAATGTAGAGTTAAAAAAATTCTATATTATCTTTTATCTCTTTTATGTATATGAATTTGAACTTTCCTACTTGCATTAGTCATAGATTTGGACTGTCACGTAGAAAAAGAAGGATGGTTACATTTAAAACATGTATTGGCTTATTATTTTTTTCAATGCTATGGGGAGTCTGAGCGGGGGGGAAAATCAGAAGTAAAACATCTGGTCTGTGACTTTCAGAAGAAAGCATCTAAGCATTACAACTGTGGCTTCTAGCTTTGTTTGAAGCAATTAAAGAAAACACAAGAGACATTTGAAAAGAAAAGATGTAAATGTCAGGGGGAAACTTAATCACCCCCAGGTCTTACTATAAACAAAAAGAGCCAATTAGGTTGAGTGATTTTGTGGTGATTAGGTTTTAATATGAGTTTAGTGCAAAAGCTGGAAATGTAAGAGCTCATATGTCAGAGAACACACCTACCTTTCCCAATAACTCATGCAAATGTTCTCACACACAAACATAGGCGTCTTACACTGCTGATTCGCTTGTCTTTGATGTGAAGAAGCTGCTGCTGTGCGAGCTGCATGTGCAGGAGGTTCTGGAGGACTAGTCCGTTACCCACCATGGCGTTCTGTAGGTTTACAGCAAAATAAAAAAACAAAATTAACAATTGCAAACAATGATGCTGTGAAAAATCTCCCGAAGATGACAGATTTAATGTGACCTGGTGAGCTTTTCCCAGCGTAAGCAGAGCCGCAGTGAGAGGAGGTCTGAGGAAGGGCAGGCCGGCATTACGCCCGTACTTTCCTAAGAGAAAAAGAACAAAAAAAACATTCAAAATGATGCGCAGAAACCTTAATCAGTTTCCTCTTTTTAAAAGCCACTGATAGTTAAAATAGTAGAAAGTTAAAAGTAATTCAAGTAGGTTGTCATTTAAAGCCCATTTCAAGCAATCACATATAGCTCCCTGCTATATAACCAACACAAGACGAGCAATATAGGAGAAAATAATGGACCATATAACAAACTTTTGGTTTAGTTCAGTTTTAAAAAAGGATGAAAATGTTACAACAATTACCTGCAGGCTTCATTTGTTTTGCATGGGGCAATAAACCCAGAAAAACAGTCCTGGTGAAAAAGATGCTAAGACCAAGTTCCACACAAAGTCAAAAAATTGTATTAAACCAAAGTGCAACAATGTGCTTCAATGTGGATTTCATGTAAACACCCTAAGAGTTTTCTATATTTAGGAAATTGGATTACAATGTCAATCCCAAATTCAACTTATTGTAATTTGTAAATATTACAGACCATTTAAAAATGATAGAACAAACCTGTAATGTCAACGTTCTGGTCTACACAACCATGCCAAAATGGCTGATTGGACAGTTTTCCAATCAATAGTCACTGAAAACCACATAAAACCTCACTAAAGAAGTAAGAGATTCAAAAAAAGTGCTGCATACCAGGATAGAAATGCAAAGTTAAGGTAAAAGTACAAGTAAAATAATGTTGTACAAGCAAAAGGGTTAACAATAGCTTTAAGAACATTTTAAAGAATCTCCCCCAATCATGAGTTTTAGGCGGATTTAGAAAAGCTTCAAGAACTACACACACAACTTAGTGAAGTTTATCCAAAATATAATTTAAAATCCTCTTTCTCACATGCTAAGCCTTAAATAGCCAAGCTCAGTCTTATGTGAGAGATCTGATTGTTCCATGTGTTCAAAACAGAGCACCTCACTCTCAATCTGCATGTTTACTAGTGGTTCCTAGAATTTCTAAAAGTAGAATTGGATGCATCTTTAAGCTATCAGGATCCTCTCTTGAGGAACCAACTACCAGTTTTAGTCCGTGAGGCAGAAATTTAAAAATCAGGCTTAAAACAACCCTTTTTTGACAAAGCCTATAGTGAGAGTGGATCATTTTATCCTGAGCTATCTCTATATTTATGCTGCTCTAGGCTTAGATTGCTGGAGGACATAGGGACCTCTTTTCATTATTCTGCTTCTTTCTGTCTCTATTCTCCCATTCTGCTGTATTTGTAAGTTGAATCCCCAGCATTATGTTCTCCCTTTGACAAGAAAACTAGCTCAGAGGTCATTTACTCAACCATTTCTTTCTCTGACAAAGCCCTTCGTGAAGCTTAGTGAAGTTTAAATCTGCATCTGAGTTGTGTTTTCACTGAACAAAATGATAAAAAAAAGCCAAGAAATATGTTACTTTTAGTGACAGAGTACCTTGCAAAGCTCAGAGTGAACCTCACTGACTGGCTTGCACAATTCCTGACTGGAATTCAAATGGAAAACTGTGGAGCAAACTACAGACAAAGACAGTCAAATCTGCAACCTTGGCAAACAAGAATGGACTGGGATTCCTTAGAAGGCAGACGAAAAATACAGCTACTGCAAGCTGCAGAAAAAAAGGATACACAGTGACTAACAGCATTAGCAAATAGCTTGGTTGTTTTTTTTGTTTTGTTTTTTTTATCTTGGGGCAGGGAAGGTTATTTCCAACAACAAATTTGATTTTCAGGGTATATTTACATTCATTCTTTCTCCCTAAAATATACTGTTTTATTCCCTTCCTTTTAGGAGCACCAACGGACTTTGCAAAGATTTCCATTTAAAGGTGTTATAAATAAATTCATTACAGTATGAAAAATATTGACTTATTGTTAAGATATACACATTATGCAACTTGTGAAAATGGACCAACTGGTCGGCTTAAGCTCTTGTTCAAATTAGAACAAATGACAAAATGTCTAACAATGATAAAAGAATGCTGGAGAGATCATTGTCATTTCCACAGTTTGTTTTTTATAAAAATAAGAAATAAAAACACAAAAATACCAAAACTGATCCTACTGACTGAATATGATACAATCCGTTGCTTTATTAATTTTTTTCAACATCAGAAAAATTATTTTATGAGGTTCAATCTGATTTTACACCCCTCACTCAAAGATAAGTGCCATCCAACCTCCTCTTTTACTTCAGGTTTAATGCACACGCAAGTTACACCCAAATTCCAACACCCCCTCAGAATAAATGTGGGCGTCGATGCTAATAGTAGGTACCACCAGAATAGGTGCAGCAAGTTTAACATTTAATCAAGGCCCTAATTTTAGAATTTAATTGTGTGTGCTCTTGTTTAAGAGAGCTCCACCACCTCTCCCATCTTCTCTCCTTCCTGTTCTCATTTGTTCCACTAATGTCACACAATTTCATTTTAATACCTGATTAGCCATTCATCAAATAACGAAGACAAGATGATTACAGAAGCCTATATACAGTGCCTGACAGGCCGACGCACTCAAAGAGTGTAGGTCTTTGATTAGCAGCCGAATCCCTTCTGAGTGTGAAGACTACTGAAATAGTTAATGGCTCTGATAGGCCCTAAAAACGACAAACTAAGTCTGCAATGTGCATGACAACTATTAATGCCCAAATATTTGGGTCGATAGATTTCAGCTATATGTTTGTATGTATATATATATGCCATACGTACCTGTAATGAAGACAAAATAGTCTGCCTCCAAACAACAATATGCACTCAGCATTCAGACAGTTTTTCTGAGGAGAGGGTACTCTCTGATGTTTTATTCAGATTTTAAGAGCTATTCTCAGTTCAGACTGTTTTATATGTTTTTAAGTCTCTTCAGAGGCATAAAGGGCTGTGTTATTATTTCAGCTGCCATACCTAAAAGAAACACATAAAAGGTCTGCAGTCCAACATATATCACAGACTGATACGTTAAAAAGGCAAACCAGAGAAAATCAGGTTAACATCCAGCTAAATGTTGACTTTCTTCATTTTAGTAGCTTGGTAAATAATGGCATTAGGACAAAAGTTTCCATTTATTTTGTTCTGCTAACGGAGGGCAAGCATGTTAACAAAATTACAAAAATAAAATGTATCTTCATACATACTTAATACATGCTTTACTACTTTTAAAATAACCCCATTCTTCTTTTACTGCCTTCTGATGATGGCCTACATTCTATTTTCAAACAGTACTTTATTACTGCAAAGTTTATTATTTAAGCCAGCAACCGCTTATTCCCTCCTAAATTAATTTATAAAGCTGCTGAAAAGGAGCAAAACAAAAAATATAAGCACACTAGAATTGATTAGAAATTTGTATTTATGAGTGACACTTTTGGTTGGACCTAGTTTTATTAGCACAAAGGTTTAAACTGTTTCAATCTGATAATGTCAGTGTGATCACTGACCCAAAAAGGGTTAAATAATCTGAGAATTATCAGGATTATTTGCAGAAATGCTGGCAGTAATGAATTTCAGACATACCTCCTCTTTTCCCACCCTGGTAGGGCCTCATAAGGATCTGCAGGGCAGCTGGATTGGTCATACTTGTCAACAGCTGAGCCAGGTTCGGTTCTGGTAGTAAGCCTTTCCTGTTACTGAGAATCTGAAGAGAAGAAGGGAAAACAATTTCCAACATGTAAGCAGTAAAGTTTGAGTGAATGTGTTAGAACAGGATGTTGTCGTAAGAAACCGTGATAGATGCAGTAACAGTTACAAATGTTTACATCATAAAGATGCATCTGCAATGTCAGCAGAGGGGAGTCAGTCTCAGGAGGTAAGGAGAAAAAAAAGAGGGACAGAGCTGAGAACCAGAACCATCAGATTAGAAAGGTTTAACAAAAACAAGCCAGAAAAAGATCTGAAGGTCGAGAGGGGCTCAATTTCACACATTTTTTTGTGCCAGTTTTACACATTGGTGAAAAAGCATTATTTGAGCTGAGGTGTGGATTCGTACAGAGCGGAACATTTTCTATCAAACTTGTATGTAGCAACAGGAGCGAGATGAGAGAGAAATGCCTTTTAAATTGCATTTCAACATATTTTCAAAAAAATCAATTTGATAGGACTAAATTGCTTGGCTACTTAAAAACTACATGCATACAAAACAATAGAAAGAACAGCATGGGAAACCTATGAATGAAACTAAGCTTTTAAAGAAGACACTTATTTTCTCAGGAGAGTCTGGCTGCAGACCTGCAGAACAGGAACTCCTGCACTGTCAGGACTGAAAGTTTATTCCGGAAGTTGTATTCAAAGCCTTCAGAAATAGTGCCAGCACGTGTTTGCTTAGAGTTTACGACATTGTTAAACTGAGCATAGGAGCACTTTAAATTATACAATAAGCAAAAATCCTCATAGCACAGCCAACCTCCATTGTGGTTTAGAAAAAGGTCTTATACATTATGACCAAATGCCCTTCTCCATCCAGCGATCCAAATGCAGAGACTTATTTCTATGTAGCACATATCTATTATTCAAGATAGGTGTTTGGTGGGGAGTAAAATTGTGCGTCAACATAAGTTTCTAGCATAAAAACACTTGTTTGTGAAAGGGAGCTAGCTTCACGGGGAGTTTATCGATACTTGCTTTTACTTTAGAAAGGCTTCGAATCAACTTCCCTTTTACTTTGAAAGTCTTCAAATAAACTTCTAAGATCTAACTACACAGGAGACCCCACAGTGCAGGTCTGCAGTTAGGGTCCTCACAGTGCAGGTCTGCAGCCAGGGTCCTGAAAGTGCAGCTCTACAGCCAGGGTCCTGACAGTGCAGCTCTGCAGCCAGGGTCCTGACAGTGCAGCTCTGCAGCCAGGGTCCTGACAGTGCAGGTCTGCAGCCAGGGTCCTGACAGTGCAGCTCTCCAGCCAGGTTCCTGACAGTGTAGGTCTGCAGCCAGGGTCCTGACAGTGCAGCTCTGCAGCCAGGGTCCTGAAAGTGCAGCTCTGCAGCCAGGGTCCTGACAGTGCAGCTCTCCAGCCAGGTTCCTGACAGTGTAGGTCTGCAGCCAGGGTCCTGACAGTGCAGCTCTCCAGCCAGGTTCCTGACAGTGTAGGTCTGCAGCCAGGGTCCTGACAGTGCAGCTCTCCAGCCAGGTTCCTGACAGTGTAGGTCTGCAGCCAGGGTCCTGACAGTGCAGCTCTCCAGCCAGGTTCCTGACAGTGTAGGTCTGCAGCCAGGGTCCTGACAGTGCAGCTCTCCAGCCAGGTTCCTGACAGTGTAGGTCTGCAGCCAGGGTCCTGACAGTGCAGCTCTCCAGCCAGGTTCCTGACAGTGTAGGTCTGCAGCCAGGGTCCTGACAGTGCAGCTCTCCAGCCAGGTTCCTGACAGTGTAGGTCTGCAGCCAGGGTCCTGACAGTGCAGCTCTCCAGCCAGGTTCCTGACAGTGTAGGTCTGCAGCCAGGGTCCTGACAGTGCAGCTCTCCAGCCAGGTTCCTGACAGTGTAGGTCTGCAGCCAGGGTCCTGACAGTGCAGGTCTGCAGCCAGACCCCTCTCTTTTTTTCTTGTAACATGTTTCACATTGTTTGACCTCACATTGTTTGACCTCACTACATTTTCAAAGTAAAAACCTTCAGGGTTTGCGGTTCTCTTTGCACCGGCATTTTTAAAACACAAACAGGCAGACAGAGCCATGGATGAGGTGGTTAAAAAAGAAGTATACTGGATGCTTATTGGCCGCTGTGGACGTGTGCTGAGCAGAAGTTTGGCAGAGAAAGATCCAGATGACATGTAGGTCGGAAGAAGGGGTGGAAGATGCAGGTAAGATTTGATAGGTTCTTCCAGATTCATATGTTTAGGCTCCATTTCACTGTCTCCATTACTATATTAGATATTTCTTTGATCTGATGTGATATTCTAATATTAAATGGTATGTCTTAATTAGCTGTAAGCAGAACACCAAGAACCACCACTGATTAAATTAATGAACTTTAATAGTTTTCTAATTTATTGAATGGGTCTGAATTTTTACTGAACCAGAGAAATAACCCCACCCTGAACATAGATCCCTCTAAGCATCACTGTTTCCTGTATTTATTTGCTTCGGCATGTGTTAAACTGATAACTAAATGGGTCTTATCAGACTTTTTACTTTAATCTGAGTCAGCCCAATAACACAATCACTCATAAATTCAAAAAACTCAAATGAAATCTGACTAAATGAGTCAAATGGACTGGGGTAATGCTGGATGTGATAGAGCCTCAGCACCACTGACAGCGTGGTAACAGAACTTGCCGGCTGGCCCAGAGACACAGATATTTAAAACAACATTAGCAGGATGGTGATATTTTCTCCCTGTCTGCCCCACAGCTACAGAGTGGGTTTGACTCCATCTCGTCTGCAGAGGAGAAGAGGAGAGTGCATGCACGCGTGTGTATTTGTGTGTTTCAAGAGGGAAAACTTGCATTTGTGTGCGTAGTGGTGTTGAACAAGGCTGCCCATAGCTGACAGCATATTTTCAAGAGAAGAGCAGGACAGCAGGAGGCATGGAGCTTTCATTTCTTTTTTTTTTCTTCTGGAAAAATGTCAGCATGCCCGAGTCTTTTTTGCCTACTAGCCAAAATAACATTACATACCAGCAGACTCATGCCAAGGAGGTAAGAAAGCAGTAGAGAAGGCAAGGCGAGAATTATCTCAGAAGAAGGGAGGGAGAATAAAAGGAGGAGGGAGCCATCTGGTCCTCAACGTTTCCCAATCACACTCATCCAACTGGAGGAGTGAGCGAAACGCCTCGGAGGACAACTCTAGCCTAGAGTACATCTTGATCTCTTTCTAAAGGTCTGATGTTTCTTTCGCCAGCTGCTCACATTCACAGAAATGATGCTGAATGACCCTGAGGCTACTGATTTAACCCCACAATGCGGACTGATGTTTTCCCTTTTCCCCCCCTCTTCATTGTCCTGCTTTAGACATGCATCTCCCAGATTTAATTTTCCTCATTTGATTCAGTGTTACTGAACGATTCTGTTTCAAACTCTTTGCCAGCAACACATCAGAAAAAGTTCAGTATTAAAAAGCTGCTAAAATTCAAGTTTCAGTGAGTATAATCAATGGTAAATATAAGAAAATGATTGCCGATGGTTCTCCTCAATAGCTGTAATATACAACTTTTAAACATTGAAATCGAAATCCTTTTTCATGCTATATAGAAACTATAAGGGAACAAGAATTTGGCATGTTATTTTTGGAAATTGATAAAAAAAAAAAAAAAAGACACCTTGATTGTAACCAAAGAGTTATATCTAGTCTATAAATTGCAATGACTGGCTGTGTATTATTTTTTTTATTTATGTAATTTTCATGATTCCTGCAAAACCCTTTTTATGACATCTGATTGACAAGTACTGAATTTAAGATAAAGTCTGATAACAAGAACAAATGTTTGTCATGTTAGTGACAACTAAAGACAACTTTAAGACAAAAAAATATCTGACTTGATTTTAAGAAAACTCTGGACCCAAACAAGATCCTCTTAAAAAAGCAACCAATGTCACAAGGAAGGGCTAATGGGCAGCAGTAGCCACCGCATACGTTTTCATTGAAAAAGAAATCAAAATACTTACTTTTCATTTGTTAGAAATTCTGTTACATTACTTTACATTTTTGCCCCTATTAATAGTCCAAATGTCAATCCAATGAAGAATCAGGAAGAAGTGAACTTTAGGGAACACATGTCCACTGAAAGAGACATTAGTTACGCATGCTGGTGTGAGTGGGGGTTATAGGGCTCTGTTTTTAAGTTACTAATTTAAAATTAAAGCTTGTATTGATAAAAATTGATAAACATATTTTAGATCTTTGCATAATGATCTAGGAAAGTAGTTGTGCAAAATTGAAAACCTTCAGCATGAAACCTCAAAGGAGTTATTCAAACCAAGTTTTGTAGTTATAAAGAGTGTGGGTATTAATTTGGGGTTAATTACTCTACCAAACCCACAAAGATTATTAGGTACCTTTCCCTCTCTTCAAATGACACATACTCTCACTAGCATTTGATCGGTGTGCTGGTGCTCATATATTTGAATGCATGTATGCATGTGCGAGACCATTACTGTGTCTAAAGCTGTGACTTTGGTTTATTTCAAGCAACAGGAGACAGTGGAGGAGCCCAATCAGTCTGCAGAACTATAATTATCATGTCAATGCTTCTCTGCATCCACGGCACTGTGTAGGAGACACGTCGCAGCTACAGAGAGTCTCTCAGCCAGAGGGTGCTCATGCATGTGGAACCAAGTCAAATCCTCAGCACTGAATGTAATCTAACCAGTTGGCATTAGCTGCACAATTAGCTATGAACAGGTATGTTTCTGTGCTTGCATTGTTCAACAGTTCAATGATGCAGCTTATGGTTTTACAGATAGGAAATGTCATGGCAACGGCAAACCTTAAGACCTAGTTGCCCCAAATTCACATTTAAGCTTAAGCTAAACATCTAATATAATCATTAAAAAATCAGTTTTGCATGTTTCACTTGAGTTACACATAGATAATTTTATTAATGTTTTGGGTTTTTTTTATGTTTGACGCTCTCTGTCAGTCTTTTATGTTTGGGGTGACTTATATCTTTCCTGTCTCTCTCCTCTTTCTCTATTAGAATCAAAGCTGGGTGGCTTGTTGAGGTGCTGCTGTCCCCTACACCACAGTCTGGACTTTCTGTTTACTTGCTTTTACTTTGTTTTCTTAAATAAGTTATGGAAAAATATAGAAAGCATATGCAAATATGAAAGCAACACTTTAACAAATGTTACATTAGTCTTCAATTACACAACAAAACAATTGTTCAGTAACAAATTGGGCTTAGTATTAACAATGGATGGCAAATTTAGCGAGCAGAAATGCATATGCAATATGCCGGAAATATGCGATTTTCGACATGATCTAAAGTAATGTCGGAAAATTTTTTCTTGCTAAGCCCCCCTTTTGTTTACAAAATAATGTTTTTGCACCCCCTTCATTTCTAACGCTGCTCAAAACTTTTTAACACTTGAAGAAAGAAATGTCAACTGTAGAAATAGCACAATAAATGAATTAAAAACGACATTTAAGCGCTGCAACTACCAACTTTACGGAGCAACTATATTAGGTTTAGCTATTCATTACACAGTGTAACATATTTCAACATTGCTATCAATAAATGCATAAAAAAAATAAATTTCTATCACAAACCTTTGCAATTACACTACGCCACCCCTAAACGGCGCACCTTCCAGTGCAGGAGCTGTTGAATAGGAGGATTTTAACAACTCCATTGGCTAATGGGCACCAATTCAGGGCAACATGTGGAGCGTCAGTAGTTTGAGGGAAATTAGCTGTTAGGGGTCACCACCTTTTAAAGGGTCAAAGCTACTTCAGGGGTACTGTGTCATAGGAAGGGCTACCAATACTATCCTCTTAACTAAAGGTTTTAGCTTTCAACTAGACTTCAAGCAAAATAAACATATTTTTATTTTTTATTTTTATTTAAAATTTTCTTTTAGATGTTGCGTTTTTTAAATCTAGATAATAAAAACACAAATTTCCCATGACTCACAACGGCATATTATATTGAAAACAACTTTTCAATCCGTAATCTTTTTAATAGTTCTTTTGTATTTTGTGAAAAAGTTACTTAAAGTATCGGATCTGTCACCAATCTGTCTGTGTTATGATTGGGTCGCTTTTTTTTTTGGTTTTTTGGTCTGCTGTAGGGAAAGTTCTCCTACTCAGTGGCTCTGCACTAATGCATCAGCCAATATAGGCACATATCTGCTGATATGCAACAAAAAAGTAGTCAGCCACTCTATTTCTGATATAGTTTTGCATGAGTAGAAGAGTTCAGACTTCTGAGATCATGGGAGGAAAACGAGCTGGAATATAAGGAGCCAAGTTGAAAAGGAAAAACTTTAGGCATTATCTGTTGGGTTTTGTGTCTTGGTGTGTCTGCCCCCTTTTTTTTCCTCCTCTGTGCAGGTCATGGTGATTTGGATCCAGAATGCCTACCTCTCTCTTCCTCTCTGCACATTCATCCTGCACATCTGAATTATGTGTCTCATCATTTACATGCACATAAAGCTGATGCTTAATTATCTTCTTTTTTTTCAACTCTACACCTTAATAAATAGTCATTTTGCCCATTTTACCTGAGGCATTGGTTCTGCCTGTCACAGCACACAGCAGTAAGCACAGTTATTTCTACTCTACCATCATTAATTATTTCCAATATGGAGCAGATTGGATGACATATGGGAGAGCAGGGACATTCTATGACAAGCCAAGATATTAAAATTTGCCACAGGACCATGTCTTCCATAGAAAAGTTTATTGTTAGCAGCTATTTGGGAACTTGATGTCTGTTATCTACCATTGTTTGTAATTGGTGGTCAGTGGTCCAAGTGAAATCAACTCAGCTTCAGGTGCTCTCTGGCAGTAACTTTTTGGTTTAGGTTGTGATTTATCTTATGTTTGCAAGAGCTGTGGCTTTGTAGCTTACTAAAGTTTTGACATTTTGACAGAGCGCTGTGTAGCACAGAAAATAGCTTCAGGCTTAAGGCTGATTTATACTTCGAAAGTAGGTCATCTGCGTAGGTGTCGCAATGAACAAAAAGACGTCCCCGCCCCCTTCGCAGACACTCTGCTGCACCTCTCCCAAATTGTAGGTGAGCGCAGACAGTGCCGCAGACAGGAGGCCGGTTTGTTTTGTTTGTATGACCGCCATTGCGGAAAACAACTCATGAAGTTTTACCAGCTAGAAGAGCGAGGTGCGCGAGAATGCTGACCTTTTTTCCACCTGGATCCCGACTCTTTAAAGCCCGCATCTCCCTCCGTTTGCGGACAAATTGGACCCGCATCTAGACCCACAGCGTATAGCGCAGACCACGCTCAAAATTGAGCATAAAATAAAAAAATTTCTGCATCAAGCTCACTGCGACACACTGCTGCGGGGAGTATAACCAGCCCTTTAGTAAGCACAACCAGAATAAATCCATGTAAAGGGTGCTCGACATTTACTGTTTTAAAAAGAAAACTGAAGTGCTCCTTAAAGTGTGGAAAATACGGTACTAAACTGTCAAACTACATGAGCTTTAATGTTAGCTCAATCAGGATCAGCGCCTCAGACTGGAAGAAAGTTAGAAGAGTGGTGAGAACAGCAGAGAGGATCATCAGGGCTCCTCTTCCCTTCATAAAAGACATTTCATCCCAGCGCTTTGTGTCCTGAGCCCGCAACATCATTGATGACCCCTCACACCCCCACGATGGGCGATTCTCCCTGCTGCCCTCTGAGAAGAGGCTTTACAGCATCCGATGCAGAACCAGCAGATTCTGCAACAGTTTCTTCCCACCGCCAACAGACTGCTGAGTGTTAAAAAAAACTCTAAATCATGTCACAGACTGCATCACACTGATAACACCAAACCAAAAATACTGCATATTTACACCATATATATTAAGGCTTTGAACTTCCATATCAATGTGTTTTCTTGCACCATGTTTTTTTTTTTTTTTTACCAAACTGTTTACATTTTATCATTGCTGCACTTTATAGAATGGGAATGTTCATTTACTATCTGAAAACTACATTTTGTATACACTCTTTGTATACAAAATGACAACAAAAGTTGTCTAAGTCTATATTTAGAGTTAAATTAGAGAACAGTGAGGACTCAAATCGTTTTCCCCCCAACTGCTGAAGGATCTATTTAGAAAGGTTGCCTTTTTGTAGTTGATTAAAAAAATCTAGTGTTGATAAAATATATAACTAAATTATGATTATTATACCTTATTTAGCACTGGTTTTCATGTAAATCTTTTAAGATTTATTTGCTATTCTAAAAATGATGTGAACTAAATAAAACTGACAAAATTTCGATAGAGAAATGTATGCACAGACAAAACCTTCAGGGTTCTTGCTGTTCTGTGTGCAGTTTACTCACCATTCCCTGGGCGGCAATGAGAGCAGCCAAGGTACTTCTCCCAGAGGTGCCGGGGGTGCAAAGCGACAGACGAACCTCCTGCCCGCCCACCAGAGTTCGGTCCATCTCAGTCAGCACGGCTTCAGCCTGCTCTGCGCTCTCATACTCCACCACACCAAAGCCTCTCACCGAGCTCCCTTCATCCTGAGCGAGCTGCAGGACGAGACAAAGAAAATGGATTTTAAAGTCACCCGCAGGCAACATTTCTTCAAGCTTTCATCAGGAAGATTTCTGATCTGGTTGGTTTGTCTCTTTTCTTTAATTATTTGGCAAGAACCTAATGCCAGTAATCTGCACTACATCTTACACTACAAATGATTATAATAAAAACTTAAAAAAAGTCCACCATAATGAGAAAAGTAAGGAAGCCAGTTGCAAGTGAGTGTTGTGTAATGTTGAGACAATTCTTACATACAAATACATACATATACCTATATATATATTTTTCCTTTGGCACCTTCTTCTTCACTGACTATTTAAGCTGATATAACTGGTAAATTTCTCCACTGTGAGATCAATAATGTCAATCAATCAATCAATCAATCAATCAATCAAAAGGGCACAAAACCGCTTGTACTTCCTGGGGAGGATCAGGAGAGCCCACCTGCCCCCACCCATCCTCATGACCTTCTACAGAAGCACCATAGAGAGCGTTCTGACCAGCTGTCTCACTGTGATGTGGAGGCTGCAGCGCCTCAGACTGGAAGAAAGTGGGAAGAGTAAGAACAGCATCGGGGCTCCTCTTCCCTCCATTACAGACATTTCATCCCAGCTCTGCGTGTCCCGAGCCCGTAACATCATCAATGACCTCTCACACCCCCACCATGGACGGTTCTCCCTGCTGCCCTCTGGGAAGAGGCTTTGCAGCATTCCATGCAAAACCAGCAGATTCTGCAACAGCTTTTCCCCCCACTGCCATCAGACTGCTGAGCTGTTGAAAAAACTCTAAAATCAAGTCACAGACTCTGCATCACACTTTAAACACTAAACCAAATACTGCATATTTGCACCATATACTGTATATTTGGCCTGAAATGCTCTGAATTTCAATATCAATGCCTTTTGCACCATGTTTTTCTTTTGGAATGGAAATGTTAATTTCACTGCTGAGCTGCTGCTCATTTACTGTCGGAAAGTTATACAAAACGAAATCTCGTTTTGTATACACTCTGTGTATACGAAATGGCAATAAAAGTTGTCCAAGTCTAAGTCTAGTCTATAGGATCATCCCTAAATCCCTAAATCCTTAAAATGACTTTCTCCTTATTAATATCAAACAGGTGACATGAAGTGACCAGTAAACGTAACAATAAACCAATAAAAATAACTGCTAGGGTGTAAGTAATTCATTTTGGTGCTGTTTTGACCTAATTTCATCATGACACAGATTTCTTATTTCTACAATCCCTAAATCTCTCCATTGATCATTGGGAGCTTAGTCATGTTTTTGTTTCTTGTAGGTTTTTCACCTTTGATGCACTAAAATTCAAGAAAATTTCTGTCTGACAATATTAGGACCTCTGATTTAATTTCTCCTGGGGCTTCATATTTTTGTTGTTTGAGGTATTTTGTCGAAAAATTCCTCCAAGCCGGATCCGACCAACCCAGCTGTCTTTTTCCATTTGTACTGCTGTTTTAGGCGTTTATTCTTTTATTTCAGAAAAGTAATGCAAACTGTAACCAGGATAATTTTTCTATATTAGATTCAGTTTATTTTATTTTCCATTTTTAGATTTAATTCTATTTATTTTTATTTAAAGGTTTAATTAAAATCCTCCTTTCCTTAATTTATTCAACACTAATCTAGTGAGAACAATACTGTTCTCGCACCGTTTTGACATCATGTGCCAGCTGCACGTCATTGTCCTAATTGACAGCTATGGCTTATATGGCTGCTAACCGCGCCTTAGGTAGGAAATGCTGTTGGACCCTGACGTGCAGGTAGGCTTCTGGTCTGTTCCCAAGTGGTTATCATATCTATTGTATATCTTCAATCGTGTGCCTCTGTTAATTTGCAGACGTGTGATCAATCAACCAAACATTGTAAAGATCACGGTTGGTCAAGAGGGAACTGGTTAGTGTTTGCTTGGGAGCTAGCATGCTAGCACTAGCCTCCCCAGCCTGTTATAGTTATACACTGAACTAAATTGAAATGCTTACCAAAACTACTGTTCTGTAGAAATACTGTTTTGCATAAGTTGCATTTAACTATTATGTAAACTCCTGCATTTATAAGAAAATACATGTACATGTAAATTGATTATTTAGACCTGTTTACACAGGCCAGGTATATTGCAGATCCCCCTCAAGGCGTGGCTGAAGGGTCTAGGATACAGCAAAGATTGTCTGGCTTCATGCTGACCAGACTGGCGAGCTAACCGCTTAACGGATTGGGATTGTCTGAGGAAACTCTTCCGAACTGGTTGGAGATTCAGCCCAACAAGTCTCCACTGAAGGAATTGGATTATTTTTGTTTTTTCTCCCTTTCATCATCAACAAAGACTGGTTGACTTCCTTGGTTTAAGGAACCCATTTGGACTTTAAAATTGTGGATTAACTTGTGTATATATTGTAAATAATAATACAACTCACTAATTTTGCACCATCAAACTGTCTCTGTGTTTTACAATTTGCCACTTCCTCCAGCAGACGAACCTAGTCTTTAAGAAATCACATGGGTTGACTTTAATTTGGGTTATTTCTAATCCTAGAATGCAACTTGGGTCCACAACATCTTTGTGGTGGTATTGCTGCAGTCAAAGAACAATATATAGTTTCACTATATTTACATTGTTTTTGCACAGCCTGACATCTACCTGAACTTTCGTACAATTAATCATTCTGGTATTACCTTTACTCATCATCACTTTCTGTAAACTTTGGACTGACATCTTTCATCATATGTACGAATCTGAAGTATTTTTTTCTTTACTGTTAGTACTTTCTTAATTTTCTGCATATGTAGGAAAAACATGTCACTTGATGCTTTAAAAGAAAATAAGGGTTGGTAGATAATTGAAGTTTTTTTTTGCTATAAAATTTGGATGTGCTGACAAAAATAAAAGCTTAAACCATTGCATTTTTTTTATCTTTTGAGTAAAAGGAGGAAGACAAATTACACAGAATTTAGTATGATCAACCTCTACATATGAGCTCTGTTTAACTACAAAGTCCAGTTAGTCTCAGTGGGATATTTGAGAGGATAACAACAACCACAAAGGACTAATTTTGCATTGAATAAATGTGCAATGAATGTTTCACAGCCTTTCCAGGAACATAATAGTCATGCAACGCAACAGAGTTTTCACTACAATGTCCTGCCAAATCATTATGGTGTTAACAGTTGGAGAATTAGCATAGCTTTAACTCAGTCCAAATATCTCAACACCACTCTCATATGTGTACTGATAGAATTCCTAGAAACATTTCTGCCATTTTTCATTTCTATAAACGGCTCTTCTGGTATACTGGCATAATGGGCTCTGCTCCTGAGAGGATTCAGTCAATGAATCTCAGCACAAGTGCTGGATTTCTTCAGTACTAAACCCCTCCCTGCAGAGTTATACAAATCAGATCCTGGCATCCCACACCAGAGACTGGAATACACATAATACACCAGGAATTTTTTTTAGGTAGAAATCCGAGCAGCGGGAAGCTGCTACAAGTAGAAATAAGCCAGCAACGGCAGCTTGTAGCAGGTGGTTGGAGGATTTAGGCAAGCACCTCATGGTCTGAATGAGTAAGTAATTTGCTTAATATAATCTGACATTAAATAAATGATCCCTACTAATTAGTTAGCCATTTTACACTTGACAGAATTATCTAAAGCCCTTGTTCCCCCTAAACTGCGAGATGTCTCAGACTGTCCCAAAAGGTGAGTTCAGCCTAGGGTGGGGGTCAGCAACCCGCGGCTCCTGAATCGCATGCGGCTCTTTAGCGCCCCCCTTGCGGCTCCCTGGAGCTTTTTCAAAATGAAAATCTATTTTTTTTTTATATGGTGTGCAGGAGGTCAAACAAGAATTATGTTTTCCAATGCTGTAAAGATTTGTATAACATACATTTAAACAATAATTGGCGTCATAGCCATAGAGATCAGTGGTCATAACTTGCAACCAGGGTGGCACGGTGCCAGGCAAACAAATAGGCGGGTGTGTCTCGCACCATGGATCCAAAGGGACAGAAGGAAGATAGCTGATGAGAAGAGGATTAAAAGAATGGAGCAAATTGAGCTTTTATCTATGCGGAATAATTGCCTGCATTTTTGCTTTGTAATAAGAGGTTGTCAAAAAAAGAAAAAGAAAACTTTGGAAAGGCATTTCAAGGGAAGGCAGGCTAAATATGCAGCCGACCACCAAGTTGGGAGTGAGAGAAAAAGTGGTTTGCAAATCAAAACTCCACTACTGCTGCCAGTTTCGCTGTTAGGATGGACAATCGTCCACAGATCAAACAGGTAGTGCTCTGATGCAGGGATGGGAACTTTCTTCCATTTTTTTCCCAAATCCTAAAAATATAAATATCACCAAGGAACGCTGGTGATGGAGGATGTGGGTTTCAGGGTTAGAGAGCTCTGCTCTGATGGATGTCAGTTCCTGCTTGGTTCCTCATGACTCAGTCAACTCCTCCCAAGAGAAACACGTCCACAATAGAAAGATTACTTTATTGTGTTTCTATAATTTCATCAATGCAACAAAACTTAAACCGTGTGGTAAAGTGCGGTGAAGCAGCGCATAGTGAAAGTGTTCACTGCTCCTCCCTCACCTCATGCAGCTATGTGACATTTGCTCCAGGATAAACATTGAATCATGAATGCTTATTATATAAGCATAGACCGCTATACGATAGTCCTTTTCTATAGTGGTCTAATACACTTAGACCCCATGTTGCCATACGAGGCATAAAGAAGACTTTTACATTTTTGTGGCTCCAGACAGGTTTTTTTTTTTTTTCTTTTTTTTTGGTTCAATATGGCTCTTTGAGCAGTTTGGGTTGCCGACCCCTGACCTAGGGTGACCAGATGCCCTCTTTTTCCCGGACATGTCCTACTTTTCATACCTAAAAAAAAGTCTGGGGGGAATTTCAAAATCGTCTGGGATTTTGGTCGACTACAGTGCAGCACGTGGTCGAAACACACCTGGCATTGAACCGAGCCGTGAGCTCCGGTGCTGGTCCGGCAACTCCAGCGGACGGGGAGAGGGAACCAGTGGGGGGACGGAGCGACCGAACATGGCCTGGTGACGGTAGCCAAGGCCTCATGCACGGTAAGGCAGGCGGGGGAAGCATACTGTCCCCCCGGTTGGGTTAGGTTGCTCCGTCACTGGCTGGCTCCGGACTTGGAGGAGCCCTGGAGCTGATGGCTCGGTTCGACACTGGTCCAGTCAGGCTTAGTAAGCAAAACCAGAATTAATCCATCTATAAGGTGCTCAACATTTACCAATGTAAAAAGAAACAGTATTAAACTGCCAAACTACATGAGCTTTAACATTAGTTTAACAGGATCAGCGCCTCAGACTGGAAGACAGTGAGAAGAGCGGTGAGAACAGCAGTAAAGATCATCGGGGCTCCTCTTCCCTCATATTAAAGACATTTCATCCAAGCACTGTGTGTCCCGAGCCCATAACATCATCATAACATCAATGACCCCTCACACCCCCAGCATACACTGTTCTTCTTGCTGCCCTCTGGGAAGAGGCTTTGCAGCATTCGATGCAATTCCAGCAGATTCTGCAACAGTTTCTTCCCCACTGCCATCAGACGGCTGAACTGTTGAGGAAACTCTAAATCATGTCACAGACTCCCCATCAAACTGATAGCATCAAACCAAAATACAGCATATTTGCACCATACATATTTAATGCTCTGAACTTCTGTATCAATCCATTTTTTGCACCATGTTTTTTCTTCCACACTGTTTACATTTGATCACTGCTGCGGAAAGGAAAGCTGTACAAAACGAAATTTCTTTTTGTATACACTGTGTATCCAAAATGACAATAAAAGTTTTCTAAGTCTGCTGTAGCTCTGTGTTTTTACCACAGGTACGAGTATCATTAGAATACTCTGTCATGCTTCGTTTAGGTGTTTAATAAAAACTTGTTTTTGGTCAAAAACTGATTTCTAAACATAAATTTATCTTCCTTTTCAGTGTGGATGTTACAAGAACAAGACTCTAATTGACATTTATTTTATCAAAATCCTTATGACCTTTTTGTAAATAACTGAACTGGTGTTTCTTTTTACCATATCTTTCAAATGCAAAGACCATGCTTTCATCTCTAATTTTGTTTAAGAAAAAACAATTGTACCAATCAAAATGTTTTGAACCAACATCAATCAGGCTTTAGTCTCATACTGTAGGTTCAACATAACATTGAGTGAAAAATGAATAATAACATTTACATCACCATTATTTACATCAGCATTATATAAATGTCTGTCTGTCTTTCATCTCCTCACTCAGCCTGGAAGCTGACGGCTGTTAGCATCAATGCTCAATCAAGTGGCGATCCACTCTTGCCCTCCACCCTTTACCCCGGTCTAAACAAAGGATGGATGGAAAGAGAGGAAATGCATATATTTGTACAGCAGTGGGTCGATCGGTTATTATCATCAGCATATATTAAGCAAAGTGCATGGAAATCACCTGAACAGCTCGATCGTTTGAAAGGCTGATGGATGGAAAAACGGGTGGGTGTGCGAAAGCGAGGGAGGGGGTGGGAGTGAAGAGGAGACGGAGATGAAATGCTAGAGGAGAGGAAAGCAAAGTGAGGGAGGAAAACATCAGTGATGGATTGAGTAACTGACAAGACAAGAGCACGAGAAAGAGCGGGCTGACGGATGATGCGAGTCAGAAGGACAAACAGATAAAAAAATGTGTTAAATTTGAGCTCAAGTAACAAATATAATACAAGTGCAGGTGTTTATTTAATAAAAAAGAAAATAATTTTAAAATACAAATGTGAATGTGCGACTGGTACAGAAAAGTAAGCTAAGTTTCTGTTAACTCTAAATCCTTCCTTAGGCTGCACCTTTTTTTCAAATCTGCCCTATTATCTCAGTTTAAAGAAAGCCTGTTTATATGTAAGCCTTGTAAAAGCCAGATGTCATCAAGTTTTTTACTCCCGTTTGTATCAGATAATTTGTCTTTATCACAGAAGTTAAAAATGACAATCAGATAAACATTTTACATATCTACCTCTACAACGTGTTTGAAATATTTTCAGTATTCATCAGGAACCCTTTAGTGTAGCAGTGAACTATCCTCATTTCCCCACGTGCTTCTGTTGTGTCCTGAAGGTGTGATTTGGGATAATTAAAGAGTAATTAAGTCCATAAATTTGGCACATCATATATCATCCTCTAAATCATTTCTGATATAAATCAAAAATAGATTGGCTCAGCAGAAATTATTCTCCTCAAATTTGCAATTATCCTTTGTCGGCCCAATTAAGATATTTTTTTTGCAGTAGCAGCATTGGCCAATAGGTAGATTAGGTGGAAAATCTTACCAAAAAAAAAAAAAAGACATATATTACTAAGCTCAGCGTAAGAATACCATTATTGATTGATTTTTTTTTTTTAAGTCTGCCAACACAATTTCACA